TTTCGTTTCATATGTAGTGCCTTTTGCAGAACTAGACTTAATGAAACCAATTGAAAATGAAATTTTGTATACATATTTTTTGTATTAAAATATTAGCTATCTTAGTGTATTAAACAATGTGTAACACAAAAACTGTTACGTGCATATTTATAACTCTAGTTCAGTACTTTTCAACATTTATGTAGGAGGCAGGAATAAAAAAATCAACGCTCTATATTGGCAGGCTAAGGAAATAATTGCACCCATGTACTGAAAAACACTGTTTCCAGATAATTGAGCTTAAAGTATAAAGATACGTGAATAACAAATTGTTATTGGGACAAACAACCTCAGAGTCATTGCTTCAATAGCCACCAGCTTGGTAGTCATTGTTAGAGTCACGTCTTCGATTTTCGGCTTGTCGCCTTGCTTGCCGGGCCTCATTTGTGACCTGTCGTGTCGTTCGGTAGGCAAAGTAATATATTCGAGTGACGTCAACTTTTCTCAGCCACTTGATTATGTTCCCCCCACGGTTCAATCTACAGGATATCTAAATATTGGCTCTTGCGATGCTACGACCATTTAATGAAAGAAGAACATCCAATTTCGCCATTTCGTCATTCAAAAACACAAGCGCCAAAAAGTACACACGCAAAAATACAATTCACAGCTTTTTTGGATAGTCTTGGTTTAAAAACAAAGTGTTGCAATAGCTGCAAGATTATTTTTTTAAGATGGAGCTCATTCCGAACATGCTTTTAAATCTGGTACTAATTTTTTTTTTTTTTTGAACAGTTATCGAGATTCAGTTTGTATATCAAAAAGGGGGCGTTGTCAACCGCTACTTGCATTCGGAAAAAAGTGTTTTTCAGCCCGAAGTATAACTTCCTAATAAAAGTGTGACAATAAAAATGCGCAAAAAATATTAAACTTCTCAAATTGCGAAGAAAAGTCGCCTTTTTTTAGATAAAAAAAAACGCAGTTTTAGTTCTGACATTAAGCAATGCAAAACGTCACGCTTGCATTGCATAATGTCACAACTCAGACTGCGTTTTTTTTATTAAAACATAAGTTTCGACATCATCATTCGATGAGGTGTCTCCGTAACCTGCGGCGATTGGCTCTCCAAGTGTTGTGCGGGAAAGTAGGCGCACGGGCTTTTTTTAGAGTGTATGTCAGTTTTTTCCCAGGTACAAGAGAACCAAATAATTATGTAATTAACTTTTCTAGAGCACCGAGTGCTTGTATAACCCACTAACCAAAAGTATTGTTATCCAGATACACTGACCTAACAAAGAGTCATTTATTTTTATTTTTGAGCTCAAAACTGTAAAAGAAAAATGTCATGGAGGTCTTGACATGCTCACAGTTGCTTCAAGAAATAATTTAAAAAAGCACCTTTCACTCTTTTTTTTTTTTACCCGTTTGTGAAATCCCAATTTCTCTCTAGCTTATTTTAATGTTGATAAGATAACACATTATTACGAGAAAGCATTGTTAAAGAGGACGTGTCGTCTCGGTGTTTACTTTCTAGAAATTTCAAGCTTCAAGTGTGCAATTCATATTCTAGTTGAAACAGCAAACTCCAGAAACGTTCTTTGACGTTGTCGTTATATATATATATATATATATATATATATATATATATATATATATATATATATATATATATATATATATATATATATATATATAATGTGTGTATGTGTGTGTGTATGAAACGAGTTAGAACTATTAGATTGTCAAAATAATACACATTAGGGAAACAAACAAAAAAAAAAGAAATCAATTTAAAGTATTGACACAGCCGTAAAACATTTTCAGAAAAAAAAATATTATACAAGCTTCATCACGCTGACGAAGGCTGGTTAGCGCAGAATGTGTGGGAGGCCTTCCAGGAAAAAAGAGAAAAGCGTCTTAACGGCACTGCCCACTGAAGATTCGCTCTCATTTCTGACACACGCCGTGAGATGGCGCAGCACGTTAGGAAAGGCCGCGAAGCGCACGACCGCGCCTTCGCGTGTCGCGCAAATGCCTTCGTTTTTGCATGCTTCGATCGCCGACTCTAAATAACTCAGTCGCCAATAAAAAAATTAAAAAAAAAAATAAACTAAATAGCTTAGTAGGCAAAGCACTTCGCTCACAACCTCGAGGTGGTGAGTTCAAATATTGCCAGGGGACTTAAGTCTTTTTATATTGTTCCCTATGTGTGTAACGCTTTTCAGTGTCGATTTTTCGTTACAACCAAACGTTAGAGAACTCGAAAATCGGCTTTTACCACATTCGGTGCTAAAACCTTTTTTTTTTTTTTTTTTTTTATTTTAAGGTTACGAGACCTCACATTACTGGTGATTCCCGGTTCATAAAGCGTGACATAGCCTCAGGTGAAAGCCGGTATATTTTAATTTCCTTTTTCGAACGTCTTGAAATTACCCGCGTGCGGTTAACATATTATGCTCAGCATCAATCTGTATGACTTGAAGTTTGGTGTTCAGCAATAATGCGTACCAGATGAGGAGCGCCGATGCCGTATTTGTACTGTGTTGCGCGGTATCTTGAGAATTGTAATGAAAGCTGACACGCCAGGTCGCTGTGCGCAGCTGGAATTTATTCTGAGGTCGGTAATTTAATATAATACGCGGGGGAATAAAAAAAAACATTATCATACTTCTTCATCAGTATACAGATTTGATGCATGGTTTTGGAACTTGCAACATCGTGAGAAAAATGTGTAAAGATGCTAAGGAAGGTGATAAATACAATCATACTTAAAGAAATGTTCAACCTAGTAAAGAGCAAATAACACATACACGCACACAGGCACACATACTCACACACACAAAAGAAAAAAAAAAGGCAGCAAATTTTATACGTTGTATATGTCGTGTCGTCTCACTCATGAATCATGCCAGAGAGACATCTATATCCTGTCCCCGGTTTTCTTAGTCACTAAAAGTGAATCATCTGAGCGGCTTCATTCACAATCTCAGCTACCTCGAATTTATTGGGGAAAAAAAGCATACCTTACCGTGATTTCACAATAGACTCTGTTCTAGAGTTCTCTATGTGAGCTTGAGGTACGCTGCATGATGGTTCGTTTACAACTGTGAACGCTGTACACGGAGCCAAGATGGTTTGCCTCCGCATTTCCCAAAGACACCAGAAGTGTCGTTTGCAGTACTTCAAGCAAGCGACGTGACGGCCACATTGAGACTTCTATGGAAGATGATGACGCACTCAGAGCGAAGGACGGCCGGAAGACCTCGTGGAAGAGCTCGGGCTAGATTCATTGTTTCCCGCGTGGAATTAATTGCGAACATTTCTTTGTCTGCGACTAGCTCTTCTGACGAAACGACTGAGTCGCTCAGGCGTAGCGAGCAGAGTATTTTTGTTTCCTGTACCTACATATATTCCGTTTCGCCGTAACATAAACCACAACCAAATGTGAAGATCCCCTACGATATCAACAGTCGGAAATGTGCCGTGTTACTAAATACCTCGTGCATGTTTCTGCAAGAATATTTCGGTCAACTCCATTGATAGAACTTTGAGGGTGCAAACAAATTCGGTACCTTTCACACTCCCGCGTTGAGTACGTGCATGAACATGAGTCTATATGTGCGTGTACACTGAAATATATTACGCGCTTAAAGATATAAAAATTATGTTCCAGATACTTGCACGCATAGCTACACCCTTTGAGCACCTTTGTTTCGGGTAATACGTCATCTTTAATCGCTAATTGGAGTGTTGCACGAAAGACACTTCATTCTTGAAGGATTTTAATATGGTGTGAAAGAAGGTGTTGCCGCGCTGTATAGGGTGTAAGTGACCTTGAACCCGATTCAAACAGCTTGATGGGAAATTTTCTTTTAGCGAATATATTGAATAATTATCGCCGATACCAAATCTTTTGACTTGGGGATATATTTCTTGAACTTCGAGATATTATGTCTTATGTGATATATTGACGAGGATAAAACAAAATATTCATAAACTTCGTAATTGCGGAGATGGTCACCCGCAATTTAGTATAATTGGATGTAACGTATGGAAGGTAGTGGAGCACTCGACACCAACGAGATTCCAGTCTCGCGTGTGCTTCGTGGCGTCTATATATATGGTTTCTGTCCATGTGCAAGTTATGTAATGGATGCTGGTTGACAATGTTGCTCGTAAACACTACCCCCAGAGGCGGTTAAGAACGCCAGAGCACTTTTTTTTTTGCAAGCATTTTAAGAGTGTTAATTAAGCTGTTAAGCTTAATTAGCTTAACTTAAAGCCCTTAAGCTGTTAGTCCTGAGACAATTTAATTTATACCTTTAAGGGCGTAAAATATTCTAGCGAGTATACGCCATACGATTATCGACCATGAAATAATTAACATCAAAGTGAAAATACAGATAAAAGGAACGCTTTATCAAAGTCTAGAAGGCACATCGAATCAATAATCCTTCTCATCAGCGCCAGCAGCCATCCGAGCCGGTCAATCACTAGGAATCTATCACGTGACACTGTTATCAATCGCAGTGATTAATGGCACACCCTACACATTAGGATCGTTTTCATTGAGGCAGCGTTTAAAATTCTACCTCATTTTCCGCGCTGGAATTTATACACGTAATCCAAGGGTTTTACATTTCATCACTCGGGTTGGAATTCCTGTGTTCACTGCTCATCAAAGGTTTAAAAAAATGTTATGATTTTCACAATTACATTTTTACATTTATGTTTGAGAGGTCATCAAAGTCGATAGCTCAAATATAATTTGGCCAACTTTTTTTATATATGCCAGTTACCTTTTGGTGCATCGTGGACGTCAGTTTTAAGCGAAGTACAGTATTAGACGTCATGATAGTCACAACAGATCATGAAACGCCGCAGGGCTTGGCTAATGACGGGTCTCACTGGTTTAAGAGCTACAGTAAGATGTGCGGGAGTCGCCACGCCTTGCGTTTCTTAAGTTGACTGTAGTGAACAAGGTGTACTCGCCTCGTGATGTTAATGATCATTCCCCGCAGCTCTGGCCCGATCCCAGTGCCAAACGGACCAGGCGATCCAGGGGACCAAAGCGTGCGGCACCAGCTTCAGGAGTCAACTTTCGGAGAAGCAATTCAATGCGACTAACCCCGCCGACCTTCACGAAGCCTGCTGGTACGTATCCGAGTCTCTTTTGAAACTATACGCTAAAGTCTAAACACGCAGTTGCACCGCTCGTATACAGCCATAGCCTCCTCCATACTCACGAAGCCGGCAGTTCGACGACGGAGCCATAGAGTGCCCGGTCGCAGATTTGGAGTGCGAGGATCTGGTAGCACAGAGCATTTCCTGGGGAACCTGGACGTCAGCGCACAGCTTTTGCAGCGGCGAGGACCCGAAACACACTTGTTCGCTTAAGAGAAGTGTGTTTCGGCGTCTCGCCGCAGCGGGGCGCCAGTCACGTGGCTCTCCTCTCATCCGTTGTCTGCCGCTCCATTTTCCCCATTGCGGCAGCCGCTTCTCGTGGCGATCTGCCAGGCTTTGTAAGTATATAGCAGGTTACGGTACAGCGTGCGAAAGACTCGTTGTTCGCTGCAGAAACGATGACAGAGTTTGCGGACACGCTTTGTTTCGTACGTACGTATGTATGCTTCGAAGATGTCTGCAGGCGGTTTGTGTACTGCCACTTTAGCAGGACCGTCCTGCGAGGAAGCAATACGCTTCAGAAAGTGTCTGCAGAGCGTGTTTCGTATGATGTATTAGCAGTGTGGCTTAAAAGATGCGATGCGTCTGCTTTCGCGGAAAGCACTTGGAAGAGCCAGTCGCTTCAAGTTGCGGAGAGAGCTGGGTGAGTGAGGAGAGCCGAAGTTAGTTTACAGCTGAGAGTTTGGTTCACACATTTGCGTTTGAGTTTGACTGAGTGCCTTGGTCGCTTGCAACAAGAGAACACACTTGCTCCATCTATGTCGCAGCCCTGGAACCATTTCGACCTGCCTATATGTGCACAATTTTTTTTTACTCATCGTTCTTTCGACGTTGGTTCGCGATAATTCTGCGAACTTTAGACCATTTCTCACAGATACCACCAGAGACCTTCAATACGCTACCGGTCACGAAACGTCGGCCAAAGTTTGGTACAGGGTCAAAAACTACCGCTAGGATCGCTGTACCCGAAGTGTGTGTGTGTGCGCGTGTGTGTGCGCGTGCGTGCGTGTGCGTACGTGTGTATGTGTCTGTGTGTGTGTGTGTGTGTTTGTGCGCGTGTGCGCGTGTGTTTGTATGTGTGGAGGGGTGTCGTTTTCGTTTTGCCACCCCCCACTTAGTGTGCCACCCCGAATTGGCGATTACAAGCAGTTAAAAAAAATTATCGTACATCGACATTTTTGTTTTGTACGTCTGTAACAGAGCTTTTTTTCAAAAGTCCATCAAGCAACATTGGCGGTTGCCATTCCTTAGTCACGAAGCGCGTGATTGGATACGAGCCCTCGCCGAACGCTGACGCAGTCTTCGTTTCCGATACGAGCTGAGCCGAGTTCACGCCGAACGATGACGTCACCCGTACGTCCAATACATGCTCAGAGTATGTGGTCAAGCAATGGCGGACAGGCGTTGGCGCGGGCTTTTGGAAAGGGTCTATTGATCACTGTATGCAAGCACCGGTCATTTTTTTTTAATCTCTAATAACAGAACTTAGAAATAAGCTTATTTTGTTCGTTTTCAGACAAAACGCTGTTTTTGCGAGCGAAAAGAAGCCAGAAAATTGAGCGTACCCAGAGGTGCTGGCCAGATTGGCAACATTGGTCGACGCTATAGCGTCGCGCGTGGTTACGTACCAAGCTCTCTCATATCGTTACGGAGAAGTTTCGTGACCAGTAGAATATTGAAAGACTTTTATAGTACGCACAGTTGACCTCGCAAATATACTGCAAAACCCTCAGTCTAGTTATGCTCAGGTTGGAAGCTCTTCCAGAACTGAGGGGGCCCTTGTTCATCTGTTTGTACTCTCGTCGTCGGAAGACACAAGCGACCGTAACTCACTCTCCCACGCTCCAACGCAAACGTCTGAACAAGCCCTGACACTTGTCTTCGGCGCTGCACTGCAGAACCCAGAGATATCGTGGGTTCAGTCTCTACACCTGTCCGTTTCAATCTGGATGAGCATCGTGCCGGCGTGCGCAGTCGTGTGTCACTGCGTGACGCAGGTTAAGGGCCCCAAGCTATAGAGCAGTCGTGCTGCATTGACTAAATTCATTCTCTGCCGCGAAGACAGCCAGACGCATATTGGGGCTGACAACTGCCCGGTGTCTAAACAAACATAACGCAATTATTTAAACCGAAGCCATCCTGTTGGTGAAATTCACGGCAGAAAATTAACTAGCAGATCTAATGGCGCGTTCACACTTGCGGATTCGCGGGCGGACCCCCGCTAGCGGAAAGTGGATCTTGGAGCCAGATGGCGAAATTGACTCGTCGCTGCGTCAAAATCTGGATCAATCCGGGACCCACATCCAAATTTTCCGCCAACAACGAGTCGATTTCGCCACCCGGCTCTAAAATCCCATTTCCGCCTGGGCGGATCCGCAAGTGTAACCGCGCCATCAGACGACGTGGATGTTTCTTCCTCCCATACTCCTGACCATCAAGCACACATCTGCGTGCGAGCATATGCTGCGAACGCTTGCGTTCAAATACCACAATCCTCCTCCCCCTCAGTTTCTCGGCACACAGGTCACCAGCAACCGAACAACGCCACGCTTAGTGGCCATAGTATACCGGCACTTGGATATCCAGCACGTAGCTGACCGCAACGTAGTCAGACGCTAATGCACGACCTTCTTCCTCGAGTGCCCGTGGAATCACGTTTCTCCGGGCGGTCGTTTCATCCCCGCTTGATAACGTACTGTATAATCCTGATGAACGTGCCAACGTCTCTCTGCGTCCGTCCTCAGCACCATGGACTTCCTGGAGCGGTGTCTGCACAAGGCCAGCGGCGAGGCAGGCTGCAGGGAGGAAGTCTCCGCCCTGGTGCACACGTTGCTTCAAACCGCCAAAGATCTGCTCGGCGACGTGTACAACACCAACTGCAAGTACGACTGCTCGGGCGCCGCGCAGGGGCTCCACGTCACTTCCGCTTACCTGGCACTTCCGTCCTGCCTACTGCTGCTGGTCTACAACTTGAAGTGGACGCTGTCGTGACTGCCGGCGGTGTAACTTTTTTTTTTCTTGGGGGGGGGGGGGGGGGGGGGGAAGGAATTTTTTTTTTGTAATTAAAATCATTTAGCACATAACGATAATGTTCTATACTCCGTTTCACATTTCGTACGATCCCTTCGAGCCGATAATACAGCACCAAAAAAAACCACCGTCATGGCGCTCGTCGTATTCGTGCGTTTGCAATCGCGGGCTTAACCAATCACGCCCAGGAAAAAGAAAAGCACAGAATCACGCCACATTCCCTGTCCGTGATTGGTTTACTTTGGAGATAGCAAACGCAAAAAAAAAAAAAAAGACTACGAGCGCCATGACGATGCACTTTTGTGCGATTTTCGATTGACTGGACGGATGGATGTTAATGGCTATAACGGGCGGTACAGCTCGCACCATCTAGCCTAAGTTTTAAAAAAATCATGAGCCACTCCACTCTGTGAAGGTTGATGTCCAGCGAAGCTGTTTAGCAAACGACACAGACGTGACACAGGATTGAGCGTATGCTCCATTAAAGTTGTCCAGTTTAGCAGCATAGTACTTGTTTCTTTCTGATGCGTTCTCTGCCCCATGCCGCATGCGTTCGGCGCATGCGCTTGGCGTCTTGTTCACTATCTTCATTGGTGGTGCTTGACGCCCGCCGCCGCCGCTGACATTCTCGGTGCCGTTCCCGCCATTGCTCTTCGTAGGCGCGTTGCTCTTCAGGAGCCCGGACTCTACGCGGCCTCCCAATTCCGGCGAGAGAAGTGAAATAGACACATGGCTAAATTACCCAAGCATCAAGGAGAATGCAGGAAATGGTGCTCTACGCGCCGCACGTGCCGGCGTCTGCAATCGTAACTGTTCTAAAGCAGAAGCCTAAAACAAGTGACATCTTGTACGGGCGTTCGCCAACGCTTTATTTTGGTTATTTATTTCGGATCTTTTATACGGGGAAGGCGTGCGCGTGCGGGTGGTGCGAGCGTAGAGTTTTTGGTCACGCACACGAAAAATCTACGGAACCCTAGCCCTAAACAGCCTCGCTGTAAAAGACAAACATATGATTCCTCCCGACCTTCTAAGCCAATTTTTTCCCTCTATCACCAGGATCCGTCGGATTGGAGGCGTTGGCACTGCGGTCGAGATTTAATGTGAAACGAAGTATAGCGATTGCGTGTTGTTCCTATTCAGCACGGACGGCGGGCGTTGTTGTGAACACGCACGAGGTGCTTTCACTCGCTGCTCATGGTTCAGAAAGTCGTGGTCACTGACATCTTAAGAAACGCAGGGCGTTCCCGAGCATCTTGCTATCGCTCTGCAGCCAATGAGATTGGAGCGTCAGCCGATAAGCACGCCACAGAACCAATCACGAAGCAGGAGACGCGATCGCAACAGGCCACGCTCTGTGCTTCTTGAGCTGCCTCTGATCATAGCTACACTATAAAAAAAAATATCTGGAGTGCATGCTTTCCCGAAAAGTGACTGGGAGAGCCAGTCGCTGCAGTCTGGCGGGTGACCAACACGGCGAATGATGGAACTAAAAATATGTTTAGACCTAAACAAAAAAAAAATTTGGGCAAATTGGTAGACAATTGTGTGGCATACGTAAAACGTTCTATAGCATCACGAACCTTTAGCGATACTCCGAGTTTCCTGACGCCAGATGCCTACGTCCACGGCATTCTTCATCAGATAGTTTAACGCGTACCTTGTGTGCACTCGATAGCCGTTCCTATAGAATGAAGCGATACTACCGCGAATCGGCTGATATAGCTGGCGATCTTTCGGAGACTTCCATACTCTCGAGCTCTTCTCCCCCAGTGCGCACAGGTAATTGAGCTCCCCCTCGCCTACCCCTCTGGTCACATGACCTCCCCGTTAACCAATCAGCGTCGAGCACCTCACTCATCCTCTCCCACGCGTCAACCAATCGGTGTCGAGCATCGCGGCCATGCTTTTATCTGGGCTTCCCGAAATGCCGAAAAGCTACCAAAAAACGTTTCACATTAAAAAAAAAAAAGAAGATTGCTTTGTGACATTATAAACATGATATGTTACGCCTGCTCAGTTCACAGCCCAAAGTGTCTTTTCTTTTTAAGTGTAGGGACATATTTTAGCTTCGCCATTCGACGAGCTCTCACGGCATATTGCAACGACCGCCTCTCCCAAATGATTGGCGGGGTCGTAGACGCTCCATATTTCCTAGTGTGATGGGTTTGGCTATTGTCTCTTTCATTCGTTTTACGGGATTCCAAGATGGTTGAGCTTCACCTATTCACATAACGACGGGGAGGGGGGGGGGGGGGCGGCAATCAAATCGGCGAGAGGGTGGCGAAGTGAAGTGCTGCACTCTGCGAGACATGATTGAGTGCATGCACTATACAAGGATTTGTGGATTTTTCAAAAGCAGCGCGAGTTATCCTTCAAATATCTGCAAAACGGACGACTTCGCTCGTTGCATTACGGGGCAAGAGAACAATAAAAAAACATGATGTTAAAGTGTCCCGGGTCTTGTGTGCGTATGATTCCAATCATTCTTTATTATGCTATGCAAAGTTCTGGGACAACATATTTATTTTCAGAGTTAATATATCTGACATATGAAATATAATGTAGTGCTGACACTTGAGATAACCGTTTTGTCTATTTCTGTTGTACAAAAATTAAACACTTCTGTCTGTTTGTGGGAATGCCTTCTTTTAGCAGCTCGTAATAAACTGTGTCTATTCAAATATCTTTTCGGGTATTCTTGATGCGTAGCATGAGTAACGTAGGTACTCTATTGGGTTTGAACGTATTCAATGTTCCTGAGCCAAAGAATCACTTTGACGCCATGAACGAATGATATCGTAAACCCGACATTATAACACTGAAAACATGTAGAAATTGAAAAAAAAAAACGCGTTTTTTATATATATTCGCCTTTGTCGTCATCTATTTCTCTTTTTCCTCTTTCTTCAAAGTTCTAATTTTGATTTTATTTAATTACTGATGTCACTACTACTAAAACTATGCCTCATAATTTCAAACTTTCTGTAAATAGAATCACTATCCAGCAGAACAAAATATGTACGACCAAATAATTCCTAAATGTTTGTTAGTGTCACTATGCGCACTGAGTTGATATGTGTAAAACTTAGTACATATATAAACACATTTAAATCGAGCTTTTGACAAAAACACCGTCCTCAGTCAGCGTTCTAACATAAGAATGCTACAAAAAAACTATTTGTGTGTGTTCAAATGATGTATTATTTTAGCTGAATGTTTTGATGCGATTTTCAATAAACTTGTATATGAACATCCGGGGTACTTCTTAATACATTATAAGCTCACTTTATGGAACTCTTAAACTTCAATATTGTTTAAAAGGTTAAAACAGCGCAAAAAACGACGAACAGGGTAAAGAAGGACACGGACAGAGCGCTGACTCGCAACTAAATCTTTACTGGACTCAACGGGGCAATATATACGCACAATTGAGAACAAAAAGAAGAAAATCAGCATAAAAAAACACTCAAAACAAAAGCACGAAAAACGTTTTTTGTGCTTTTGTTTTGAGTGTCTTTAGGCTGATTTTTTCTTTTTGTTCTCAATTGTGCGTATATATTGCCCCGTTGAGTCCTGTAAAGATTTAGTTGCGAGTCAGCGCTCTGTCCGTGTCCTTCTTTACCCTGTCCGTCGTTTTTTGCGCTGTTTTAACCTTTTAAGTATGTCATACCAACTCGCCCAGGCTTCAACTTTAGCAACTTTAATATTGTATTGTTTACACCGCGGAGTAAGGTTCAACAAGCTATAGCCGCTACTGTAGCCAGAGTGTAATAAATGTGATAACCACTTAATAAAAATTAAAAAGACGCAGTAGTTACGAGTGGCGCGCGAGTTACGGAACAGCAATGAAGCCAGATGCCTTGAAACGTGCAGTTATTAAGCTGTCAATATTGCAAATAAAACGTTATGCAAATAAAGCATTATCAAACTAATGGCAACAATATCATCATAACAATCGTTCATGGTCCCAAGGTTGTGGTTATCATTATTTGTGTTCATAGTATGTTACATATTATTATGAAATAGATACGCTGATCATTTGCAGGCATTGCAAATAAGGCTGGGAGAAGAGTACCCAAGATCAGTTAGAAACTGAGCTTGACTCTGACCGGTATTAGAAGGAACGACACAAGGGCACAGCTTTATTTTAAATTTGACTTTATAGTAATATGTGTACATCTTACATATACACGTGCACGCACTGAGTAATATGTACAATGTCATTGTAGACCCACACACGAAAGGAAATATCATGTAGACGTTTTCTGGCAGAACCCTTGCTAGCTTCTCTGTATGTACAAGCGCACAAATCAAAAATGAAATAAGCAGTTTATGTGCATAACAGACCGGAATGACGGGTTGTAGAAGCGTAGTTTTCTGAGGCTAAAATAAACGTCTTCCCAACTTCGCCACTTTCAAGCTACATTGAACATTTCTAAACGTACGAGCAAATAACGATTAAAAAAAGTGCACGTGACTCCAAAACACACATAACTTCTTTTTCTGGTCAGTGGTATTATGCGAGAGAAAATATCATTTACAAAGGTGAAAGTAATATTTCAGTAAGGGAGCAACTTGGCTTTTATAAACAGATATTTAAATAAGAGAAACATACGTTTTACAACAAGGCAAGCTAAAAACTTCAAGTAAGGATACTCGGTTCTTCGATATATGTACATTACAGATGCCTCGAATGATAATATATTAGGATATAGATAACTCTCATAAAGTACGAAATATTTCACCCACTATGTAGAGAGGAAGAACCCCGGAAAAAATGACTATATAAAACCAGCTCGTTAAAATTGCTTCGAAAGCGTTCGCACACATAGATTTCTATACTTCGAGCTATGTCCAGCGTCCCCTGTTCATGTTAAGCTTTTATTGTAACTCAATTTTTTTCCATTAGTTTTATCTGCATACAACTTTAAAGAACATTGTGTAAAGACAGAGGATCTCAATATTTTGTGCCCGGCGTTGTTTTGTACACGTGACTTCTCTCGGCAACTTCAAATGGCGATTTTCTAAGCGTCTTCTAGAGTGAATGAAATGTTACAAAACATCACTGCGATATTTAAACTAGTTACTAACACCACGTCGCCGGAATAGCTAGCGAGGTGACAGGCTCGAATCTGCCGAACGCTACTCATAGTAGCACGTGGTTTACTTGGAATAAATCTTGTCAAAAAAAAAAAAAAAAAAACGCCGGACACTTGCAGAAAAATCAGTCAAGGAACTAAACGCTGATCGTCTGAATCAAATCGGAAAAACATTACGTGACGAATTAATTGCGTGCGTCACGTTTCCATTTGCATCTCCGGTTGTTACCGGAAAGCTATATCGCGACACCTGACCACAGACAGCAAAATCGCTGTCTTACTTTGCAAAAACTACCGTCATCATCCTTAGCGAAGTACGTTGAGCATTGTTGACATCAGTCTTTTTTTCTTTCTTTTTTTTTTTTTTAGTCCGCGGCTTGTACTTTTGTGAAGGTTCTAGAAGCAGCAGTATCAGCCTTGAAACTAACATTCAAACACATGAAACGCGGGTGGTACTCTATGCTGGTCGTTAACCTTGAAGCGAATAGTCACAATCGCTAACCTCGTATAGGATAAATGCGATCTTGAAAAGTATTAGTTCAGCTTGGTATCATTCTGCAACAAAACAGCCAAAGCAGCTTCCGCGTTTAAAATATACATTCTCTTACGTCCGTAAAACTACCTCTAATGATGTACATATAGACCGCCCTGTTAAAGCAAACAGATAATCAATCTACAAACATAGCCTAAACCGGCAAGCAAAGAAGTGGTCGTTCTTTTTTCATGTTAACTGCACGTTCATTGTAGACAGTGTTATGAGCAGATCATGTTCTTGCCATTTTTGCTACATTTTGTTTTTAACGTGCTCCTTAATACGTGAGAACCAGAGCAATAAAATAAGTTTTTGGAATGCTTGAAGAAATGACTATGTCGCGCTTAATTGAAGAAACAATGTTCTAAAAGTTAAGTTAAAAAATTGCATTAAAAAAGAAAGCTATACATAACAAAAAAGCTACGCGTACACACAGTTCAATATTCATTTGGATACCCGCAAACACTATGCGTGTACAACGCTTTGCAAGATAAAACATCGTAAAACTAAAGGTACAGTAGTCGATTGTACTTTATGACAGGACATATTGTCAACTATCACACTTCCCTCCGCTGACACGACGAGCCAGACAACATAGTAAACACAATCTACTTCACCAAAACACAAATTGCACATCACCATGATACAAGCCAGGCTGACACAACTCCAAAGTTAACCTAGGTACAGCAGCTACCGCCGTTAATTTAACAACACACCTATGTACAGACATGTATGGCAGATAAGAGCAGATACCGGTCACTGTACGCCTGGTTGTACGCAGATGCATCTAAAGCAAATAAATTAGCTCGCGACCTAGTATAGTGGCAGGGTTGGCATCTCAACTCCTGAGCTTGGTTATCTGCCAGGTACGGGCATGGCCTCCCCCGAACTCACTTCATGTAGCGCCTCAGCGACCGCTCCATGTTAATCCTATGCCCTACCTGCTTCACGCCTAGCCCCATGAAATCGTTGGAGTCCATGTTGGCCAGCTTGACCCCGGTTATCCCAGCCTCGATGAAACGCGGTCTGTACTCTTGCAAGAAGAGCGACTCGAGCCAGTCGCTCACATCCCTCGCGCTCCATTCAATCAGCGGCTTCTGCCTGAATTCTCGCTGGACCGACTTCAAACGGGCCAGATCCCCAGCCTGCCGCTCGATGGGTACCACCAGAACCTGAGGATCCGTCTTGCGGCCCAAGGTACCATACCCTGGGCGGTACACGTCATGTACCGGTCGATGGTGATGGGTCGGGGCCGGGCGGAGGGTGGCAGCGTGATGCTGCGGCGACCCGTTGTACCGGCAGTAGGAAGGGTGCTGGTTCAGGTGGTACACGGCCGGGTGCCGCGGATCAAACTTGCGGTACTCGTCGGAGAACTCCGGCGGCGGCGGGGCTATGGGCTCGACCTGTTGAGGCCGGACTCCGTGCGAGAATTCGGGAGGCGGAGGTACAAGGTCGGAGAGGACGTCCACTTCGCTGACGGACGACAGGCCGAGCGAGTCGACCTGCAGCCGGATGAACTGCAAGCTTTCGTCGATGCTGCGTTTGAGGTTCGAACAGTCCGCGTCGGCTGCGCGCGCACCTTCGGCCCTCCTCGTCGCGTGAACCTTCTGATCCAGCCGGATCTTGAGCGTCTTCTTGGGGATGCCGCCCACGATGGCCTTGTCGGCGGGTTGTCTCCGGACCGGAGCTTGTCCCATGGCCGGAGACGGGGACGACGCCATTGCCGGCTGGCGAGCGTATGTGTTCCTCTGGTTGAGCGATTCCAGAGTCGACACCACAGGCGCAGCGCTGGGGGGAACCAGGTTCTCGGCGGACTGCCGTCTTTGGAGGTAGTAAGCGCTCAGTCGCTTGGACAGGGTCGCCTGGTCGTAGGACCGCAGTTCCTGCCGTTCCACCTCGACGTCAGACGACACGCCGCTGGAACTGTTCTCCGGCTCTTCCTGGTCCCTGAGGCAGGTAGGCTTCAAGGAGGACGTCTTGGACGTGCCACCACTCCTCTTCTCAAACACGTTGATGTTCTCCTTGACGGAGCCTGAGGATACCTCCAGGACCAGCTTCTCTGTCTCCACAGGGTCTCTCTTGATGTGGACGATGGTCTCCTGTGTTCGGGGCTTGTGTTCCAGCGTGCTACTCTTCGCGGCCATCATCAACTTCTGCTCCTGTTCTTGCCGATGGCTCAAAGTTCTCTGCTGAACCTTGTCAGCAATCTGGCGCATCTCTTCCGGCTTAAGAGGTCCGGAAGCCTTGAAAGTTCCCATGTCTCCGGACTTCTGACGCTTCGAGGTGTCTTTCTCGTCCTCCGAACTGTCGTAGTCCGGTTCTGGAATGTACGGCGGCTTCTCCGGAGCCACTTCTTCCTGCACCGAAGCCGGACCCCGGACTTTCTTACACTTGGCGCCTCGTAACGTTCCCGTGTCCGGAGTTGGTTGAACCACCCTGAACGTCGAGTAGACCACGTTGTCTCTTGTCTCTGAGGGCTCCCTGTTGTTCTGGATTCTGGGCGGCAAGGACTGAGACCGCGTCCCCGACCCGGAGGTCGGGGTTCTACCCGACCGTGCGCCGCGAGCATCCGCGCTGGACTTATAAGCAACGTTCGTTAAGGACTCTGGAGACGCGTAGAGTTTCGCGCTATCTCCTGGTCTGAAACTGGACATGACTTTTGAATCCGGGAGTCCGTCTACGTTCGCGTAGTCCCCAACAGCGTTGGAGACGTCGACCTTGAGGACGTGCCCGACGGGTGGCGGCGGGGGAGGGTGGCTGGGAGGCGGCTTCCGGGAGCTCTGACTAGTTTTCTCGGCGACGGGCTTCGTGGTTTCCGCGTAGATTCGCGACGACTTCTTCCAGACGTCCTCGATGGTCTTCCACGCGTCGCCGTAAGGGGCGAGGTCCTCCTGACTCCGGCTGCGCCGCCGGGACAGGTCCGCCTCTGTCACGTTCAGGTCTGGCTCGCTGTTGAAGTCCTTGAGACTTGGGGTGGTACCTCGAGCTGCCCGCTTCATGGCTGCGACGCTACCGAAGACTCGCGGTTTGCGGTCCTGACTCTGCCGCGTGAGGAATGCCTCAAGTTCGGCGGCGGTCATGCGACCTGGTCGGCTGCGGATGGACGCGGTCTTGGGTGGTTCCGGAGCCGTAGAGGCGGTCGTCGTTGCGTCGGGGGCTGTCAGTCCGGGGACGAGCCCACCGTTCTGCTTCGGAATGCTTTCGATGGAGCTACTCTTGGTCGAGCGTCCCTCGGAGTCGTACTCGTTCAGTGTGCGGTCAAGGACCTCTGCGTCATCACAAAAAGCAAACAAAAAGCCGGTGTGTAAACAAAGAAGACATGCTTAAGGTTTCTTAGGACGATTTGTTTATTTAACGAGTGCAAAGTTTTTTCAAAGGTACCCGGAACTTCAATAATACGAAAGCCAAGCGAGATGACGAGGAGTACTGCAGAGTGACGATATTAGGAAAACATGTCACATATGTCACTATCATTATCGCACCATCTGTAAGCTGGCAGCAGAGCCACGACGGAATGGGCCACTTACTTCTTCGAAAATAAGGTTCTAAATAAAACGGAGCAAAAAGAATGAAAATATAAAGGGTCGTGTACCAATTTACTCTACAGATCACAATGAAAACCTCAAACCACCAATCTTTGTTAGCATCTTCATCTCTTCGAGCCTCGTAGTGCAAGTGGCGCTGCTTGTCGCATACAGATTATTCTACGCTATACAGGTTTAGTCGCGGAACCACTCTCACCCAAGCCGCAATAGTCACGTTTACCTTTCTAGCTTACCATAACAATAACATAATAAATGAACACAGTGAACATTATGAAACAATGGCTAAATGGCGCAAGTGCACCCGTCCATTGATCCAGCTACAGCAGAGACATATACTGACCGATTTCGGTGAGTCCAGCCACCATGGACTTCGCTCTAGCCCTTCCCACGGAGAGGGTGGTGCGGGGGTCTCTCTTGGGAGGGGCTGGAGCCTTCTTGGCCGACAGTTTGCGCGGCAGCGTGGCGCACTGCCGGTAGCCGCCGCCGCCCGACGACACGGCAGCCGTTGCGGGCCCCGCCGATGAGGCTGACGAGGCTGAGCCTGCGCCCATGTCCGACGACGACATCCCGACACCAGACGCCTGCGAGCAGAGCAGACGGACCATGAGTGACCGCAGACAAAGAAACATTTGTCCATTCATCGGGTGGACGAGACCGGCAGGGAGGTGTCTCGGTCGTCTCGCCCCCAGCGCGAACTTCTACCTTTGATAATGCTTAGGTGTCCCGTGCGCTTCAAGTGTGCACGCGCAGCAAAATAATGGCGAAAGATCACGAACACGTGTTGAAGGTTGGCCATCTGTAGAGACATCCTGTCGTTCTCATCTTGTCACTCACTTTTGGGTTCGTTTCAATGTGTAGAAACTTCTCAAGGGGGTAAGACGTCACTCCATTTAGAGGCACTAGTTAATGTTGGAACTAGCGGAACTATGCTTCTTTCTATTTACTCATGAGCACGTGGTAGCTGACGTTTCGCTATGTCTTTCTTAAGTCAGTAAAGGAAAGACCTGGACCGGCTTTCCTTCTAGAAACAGTCTTAGCTAAGACTGTGTGAAAAATATCACCGTTCAAACAAGTACACGAGCAGAGTAGCACCTGAAGTCGGATCTCAAGAACGTGCGTATCGCAGGCTTGGCATGCTTTCTTTCAGACTGACTCAGTTAAAAAAAAACTGTTTCCAGCAAGCCCGCCTCGCCTCGCCTCGCCTCGCGCCTCGCCCCCCGCCCCCCCCCCCCCCCCCCCCCCCCCCCCATCTTAGCTCGGTTAAAAAACGTAGCCAACGACTAAGCTGATGCTTTTAGCGAAACAACGGCCGCTCCTCTGAGGCATCAAGAAGGTTCCTTTTTGAGTTCTTTGTACCAGCGCCTGCCACCTTCGTGCTTTCTTTAAACATTTCCTGGACACGCTTAGCATGGAGAAGTAGTACCCCGTCCGGCGCTAGCACTTCACTCTTGTCATTCAAGCAAAGCGTATACTAAACACACGGACGCATGCTTATGGTAGCAGCAAAAAGCAATTTTAGTTTGGGCCTCCTTTATCATTCGTGCGCGAGGCGCACGCTTCACGTGATTTCCAAAACAGCGGCGTAGCGCGTGTTGGCCTTGGGCTTGGGCTGTATGGGGTTTGCGAGACCCTGAACAAACCCACAGCCCAACTTGCTAGCGCCTCAGGCCAGCGCGCACGCGTTCGTCACATTAAGGCCTGTTCACACATGTAGCGGAGCGCTACAAGCGGAACGCTGACCTCGCGCTAAGCGCGTGCTGACGGGAGGGTTCACCAGCTTTGTGTCGCACCGTCAATACCGTTGTTCATGGCAGACAATAAATAGCAGACGACACGTGAGAAGCGCTACATTAGCGCTTCGCTGCATGTGTGAACCGGCCTTTAGGAAGTTCTACTCACATGATGCGATTTTACCTGAAATTTCGCAATTGTGATGTCGTTCGTGCAGCAAAAATAGCGTGCTGGAAGATGGAGTGCTCAAAGTAAAAAATTGCAAATCGCAATTAAAATCTCGTGAATCGAGCTTAACGACTGACTCTACTGACCGGATCGGAAGACGTCAAATGAATGTGCCCGGCTGTCCCATAAAGAGTTAAATGAAACGGTGCAGAAAACAACATAAATGTTACTTCAGCCATATGAGGAAATTAACTGACGCCACCAAAGAAAGAGGTAATAGTTTGCCACAATATCACCCTTAACACTGTTTTTCTTGTTACAACCTAAACTCCGCTGGACAGCGTTAGTTTATGGGAATGGAGTGATCATAAAACACAGTTTTGTTTTGCCAACCGTCGGTTTGATGATGTGCAAGTTTCATATTTCATTATGCACTTGCGGGCAAGATCCTGCAATGGCAAGCTTGCCAAAGCTATGTTCACGCGTAAGCACGTGCTTGCACGCATAAAGTACCAATTGAGGCGCCATGCTCTCGAAAACACAAAAAAAAAAGGTTAGTGAGAAAAAAAAAAGATATTCTTTCTGGGAACCAACTGCCAGCCGCGGCGGAAGTCAAGGATTGCAAAAATCATACTAATCAGCTAAATAATTATCTAAAATTTACCAATTAACATTTTAATTTGTGAAAAAAAAAACATATTGTCTAGATAGGAACCTAGCTAAACATCTTCGAACCCCTACATCAACTAATCTTAGAAATATATAAGGAATGGACAGTTTTTTTACGGCGTTCCAAAAATAAAGCTTAGTTTGGCCGCGTTTCTAGGTTTCGGTTTCTCATCGGAGTGCATCTTTGCGACTACGGTTCTGCTCCCCGGTGGCCGAAGCGCGAAGCCACCGCCTCAACTCCCTCGTAGAATAAAGGAAAGTATGGCGCATGTGTGTTGCGCGTCTCGGCCACTGGGGAGCGGGACCCCTGAAGCAAAGATGCGCTCCGAAGGAAACCGAAACCTAGAAAATGTCCAAATTTAGCGATTTTTTTTTGTTTTCTTTCGGAATGCATTTAAGTGTTTCATTTACCTTTTTTTTTCTAAAATGAATGAATTTAGTAGTTTTCGATGATGCTTAGCGAGTTTCTTATTGGAACCATTAGTTTATTTTCGCTAAATAAAAAGTTAGCTAGAATATGTATGTTATTAATTAGATAATTGGTACGATCTTTGCAATTAATGAAGTCCACCGTGGCTGACCGTTTGCTCCAGGAAAAAGTTCTTTTTTTATTTTTTTTATTTTTTTTTTTTTTTTGTTCTCAAACATCACATTTTTTGGGACTTTTGAAAGCCTCATTGAAACACCCTGCCTACTCATCTCGTGAGCTAAATGCAGCCCTATTAAATGCACAGAAAGATCTCAATTGCCAAAAAAACTCGGTAGAAAAAAATCTTTTTTTCAAAGACAGAACATTGCACAGAATTTCTAAAACGTTGCAAAGAAATGCCTAAATTGAGTACAGTTTTTCAATGTAACTTCTCGGAATTTAACATTTTTTTTCGGCGATAGCATGCTGTCATTGGCGAGGTCTCAGAGCGAATCCCCGGATGTGTTTGCGTGTAGGTCGTAAAGCGCCAAAACTAGGGGAAAAAATTTTTTTTTGCTGGATTCAGCAGGAAGTTTTAAATTGATAGGGGAGTCACAGTGTCACGTGACCAGGACGTCACAGCATCACGTGACGTCATGCTAAGGAACGTTACAATTTTCCCACTAAATTTAGCGGAATTGTAGTGTCACGTCACGTCACACTGTCATGTGACGTCACATTTTCACGTAACGTCAAGGTGTTAGGTGAGACTACAGTGTAACGTCAAGACCTACCGCTAAACGTAAACACGGTGGCATAACTTTGCAGCAGAGTGTTCAGCGCCTTGGCCATCGCTGCCGTTCATTTGCAGACAAGAAACCGTCATATTCTCGTTAGGCTCTTTGTCACTAGTTAGAACAGGCACAACCACAACACCCTTATGCACAGAGTCCCCGCAAGTCGCCTTTCCTTCCAGCGCCACCTACGACGGAGCCATTACCTGGGCAGGCCCCGTGACGCCAGGAATGCCGCCGCGCACCGAGACCACCGTCATGGCGACCAAGTCACCTGACTGTCGGATGATTGTGACCACGTGCTCGTGCGAAGCCTGAGACACGTCATGGCCGTTGATCTAGAAAGAAAACGAAGTGACGTGGACGTCAGTCTGACGCGGTGAGATGCATGAGCGATAATGAAAAGTGCATCCGACTGGAACACGCATATCTCGAAGCCACAATGGAGAGTTTTAGTATATCGTTCCGATACCTCCGAGTGTCCCGATAACGATACGATGCATGCGAAAAGCCGGCGGCGGAGCACCGGGTATCGTTATCGGAGTCATCAGAACGACCTCTCTGTTTCTGCGTTAAGTCCGTCACACATGGTACAATTTCCGTCGTATAACGCGATTGAAACAGCGTTCATGCAAAACAAAAAAAGAAATAAAAAAATACCATTGACGAAAGTTCCAATTACTTCACGGGCTTTTTACTTGATAAGTAAAAATTACACCGATTTTTTTTTTTTTTTTGCACAGTCGGTTTATGTGAAACAGCTTTTAGAGAAAACGGAAAGATTTAAACACGTGTGTCGAAAACGGACCACAAATCCCACGAAAAATATAGTTCTTCACCATTTTTGAACAAGCAAATCACGCGTGAATGCTAATCCTACATAAATCGCAAATACGATAATGAAATCATAGTAGGCTTTTAATGAAATCATAGTTGAGATTTAGAGACAGTAAATACCCTCGTTTTACGAAAATAGTGTGGAACAACATTTTGAGAGTTCCAAATTTCGTGTAATTTTCGGATCCTTTTTTTCTCTTTTTTTTTTTGCATATGCGTTTTAACTTTAACATTTAAGTTTCTGCTCTAACGATGTATAACTATTATACAGTGAAACTCCACTCGAAAAAAAAAACTCAAGGAACCTCAAGAAAACGTTTTCCTAAGAGACGGTTGGCCCAAATGATTTCATTGGACACAATATGGTTTTCCTGGGAAATTTGACAAAAGTTTGCTTATCTGAATAGTTTGTTCAAGTGGTATTTCACTGCACTTCGTTCTCTCCATCGGCATAAATTGTGGGAACACCTTTGCAACATTACCGCGGAAAGCTTCGTCTTTTTTTATATACACCACCAAACTAAGCACATGATACAAAATGTTGAAGTCAATTAAAAAATACGAGAACAAAAGGGTAGTAATAAATATTCATATGTCACTACAAGAACTGCCGAGACCCGAAACGCGTCGCAATTAGTGCGATGCAAATATATAGACAAAGTCGGACGTCTTACCTCAAGCAAGAAATCTCCCTTTTTGAGCCCGGCAAGGTCAGCAACTCCGCCTTTGTCAACGTCGTCTAAATACTGCAAACTAGGCCAATTTTCAGTCGGTTGCCGCTCCATCAGCGGACTCGTGGCTGAAAAAGTAAATGTCATGCAAGAAACATATTGCCATCTTCAATCAAATATGATTATCGAAAATCAATCCTACGGCCAAAAGGCAATGTACAGAGCGCGACACTGTTAGCGCGAACAGGCGATCGCCGGTTTTTCCAGTTTTTCTCTTTGAAACCAAGGGATGTCATCCAAGTTATTATTGCTACGGAAAGAGCTCATTTAGAGCTACAATGTAAGCGATAAAATTTCGTGCTCGCCAATGCTATTTAGAAGTAAAATGCGGAAATCCGCCGATGTCGTGTTCGCGCTAACAGTGTCGCGATATGTACTAAATGTAGACGGCTTGGTAAAAACCAACCCCCAAAGAAAATATTTTAAGGTGCCACAAAAAAAAAAAAAAAGTTTGGCTAAGAGATACTGTTTGTCACCTCATATATCTTAAAGTCGCTTTGTGCTACAGTCGCAATCATAGTTAGCTATTTTGAAACCCAAGCTCACCGTTCTTCTCGATGATTCTCTACGTCAGTTGATGACGTCATTAAAACCAGAAAACTATAGTTTAAAAAATATGTGAAAGTGAGCCATGTGAAAGATTTATTTCCTAATCTATTCCCCGCAGTGAAAGAGCAGGAAAACAGAGAAGAAAAAAGGAACAATACATTTTCGTAGTGCAGTAGTGTGATGAAAGCGCTACTCGCAAGTTTATGTAACATTGGAAATGCACCCACGAACGAAACCGAAGGTGAAAGTTCTCAAGTGTGCTCACCTTGCACCATCTCCTCTGCATAAACGCGTGAACAAAATACCATCTTTATTGACTAAACATTCAGAACAACTATTTATTCGTAAAACCCTTTTTCACACTTCTCTGGGAAGTTGTTATTAAAAAAAAAAAGAATATACACACGTTAAAGCAGTATTTATTGAAAACATATCAAGTCTTCCTTAAAACAATAGGAATCACAAGAAAGAATAATCAATGCAAAAACAGCCCTCCCACTTTACATCCTACAACATAATTATTTTTTTGCAGGTAACAATGCATGTATGCAAACCAACTGTCGTCTGCTATTCTCACTCACAGTCTCCAGACTGCGCGTGTCCTATCCTAGTCACACCAAAGCTAGTGACGGCAAGATACTGCTAATTAAGTAAACTCATTCAAATGTGTCAGCTCCAAGCAGCGCAGAGTTGGCCAGTCATCGGCCAATGGCTGGCAATGGTCCTTGGCCAAGTGGCCAGACAGAGGCCAGAGACCGGCCGGTGACTGGCCTTTATCTGGCCACTGGCCATCAGCTATCGGCAAGCATTGGCCAATGAATGGCCACCCTCTGGCTACTCTCCAAAAGACCATCGCCAGACTTTGGTCACTGCTTGGCCAAAATCCGTGCTGCTTGGGAAGGTATCAACTTGAAATGCAGTGATGTCTCGTTGATATGGGCCCTTCCGTTCTCCCAAAAATAGCCTCCATGATGTGACTTGTCCTTAATAACGAGACAAAGATGCGTGTCGTTAGCAGTTCGACCCCGAAAATGTTGTTATATAGACCACATTTTCAGGGACGAACTGGATAAATACATGGGGCATCCAAATTTATACGGGATCCAAATTAACGAGACACGACTGCATTACACGCATGTCGGAAAAAATTAAAGCTCAAGCAGTCAAATCTGATCGTGCCCGGTAACATCTACGCTGTCTTTCAGTGAAATAGCGTTTTGCGGCAGAAAAATCAATCAGGTTGTTTCTCACCTTTGGCTCCCCGTAAGACAAATCCGAACCCTTTCTTGCTTTTGTGTAGCACAACCGTGCGGGGGTCGCCATACCTGTTGAATGCATCAACCACGGTTAGAGACCACCTTACCTTCTGATTATAACTTGCTTACTGGAAATCTGATCTGGGGTATATGTCAGATGGCAACGACATACATGTGATAAGTAAATTTAATACACACTCACACACACACACACAAAATAACGGGTTTCTCTCGACGACGTGTGTAAAAGTAGTCCCTAAGGCACCTATCCAGATGTTATCATACTAAGGGCCGGTTGCACCAACGTCGCTTAGCGCAAAGCGGAGCTTAGCCGGGAACTTAAGCTTAGTTTCGGTTTCGTTCGGTTGCACCAAACTCGCTTATCGCTAAACCTAGCACTAAACTACGCTTAACTTAAGCGTCCAACATTGGGCGCTTTGCTTCTGGTTGTTTCTTAATCCTGGATTAAAAACATGGCGGCAGGTTTGTCACGGTCGACGCGGTGGACGAAATTGGTTGTGCAAAGTGTATTAGGCTACATCAGCGTGAAAGTCTCGACAAAATGACTTTCGATTGTGACAAGGATGCAAATTATTGTCGCGTGAAGTGTTTACCGACCCCTGTTTTCAAGTTGGCTCTCCACTTTCAGGGCGTGTCAGCCCTAACCGAGAGACGTACGGAGCTGGGGGGCTCACGTGTGTATTCCCGTTGGTTCTTCTGTCAACGAGCTTATTCGTATGTACTTACTAATTTTCGCATAGCTGTAACGTATTGTTATTTACCACCTTGTTTATTTACACTTGCAGCGCGTATCCTTCAATCTGATCAGCGCGTTGAATAGTGGCAGTACATGATCTCGGCGATCAGCTGATTGTCGACACCTCTGCCGTTTGCATTAGATTGCGGCGCTTTTAAGTAATAAAACAGCGAAAATTCAATTTCTTTCGTTTTCTGAGTTTTGAGACAATCTTGGCTTCAGACAATCTGAATTTTCCTTATCTCGCGAGTAGAATCTTGGCTTCAGAAAACTGTATCGTTCCATAACTGTAACTTTTTTGGTGATCGCATTTTTTTTTTTTATATATATACTTTGCTTTATATATTTCATTCATTTCCCGAGAACGAGATACTGTTGTTTCCGAGTTGTGTTCTGTGATGGTGTTTTCCCTTTACTTTTGTCGTTTGTTGTCATTGTGACGACGGTTGAGACTATACACCGGAACACGTTTTCAATAAAATTCAGTTGAAAGTTGCGCCTTGTTGTGTCCTCCGTAACTTTTTTGGTGATCGCGATTTTTTAGAAATATTTTGCTTTATATCTTTCATTCGTGGCCACGACAAATCGTAACGACTACTATGTTAGATTCGTTCATTGCTGTATCGGGGCAGGCTGGGGCAGGTGATGCGAAGAGACGACCGTTCTTATCGGCGCGATGTGATGTACTAGTGGGTTTTTTTTTTTTTTTTTTTCTGAACTCGACAGTGTGAAACTGAAGTCCGTTTGAGGCTGCAGAGGATGTTCAACGACGGTACAGTGCAGTTCTGTCACCTTGCTGATAGCAACGAGTACCGTCGATGCAAGGTCTCGTGACCTGACCTCTCGACGACTTCTATTCGACGATTTCCGGGCATTTTCGCAGCTGCCGTGGCGAGTTCGTCACTGTATTGAACTTCATCGGTCTCGGGCTTGACTTGGTTTTAGTAGTCATCTTACCTGCCTACTTATATCCATGATGTTTTGTCTTCAGCGATGTAGTGAGTAGAGTGTCCTTCTCGCGTTCGGTGAGTTTTGGGGCCCCCGATGGCTCCTTGGCCTCAAAATGTGAGCACGAAAACTACTACCACTGTCAAAATATCCTGTTATCAACCGATATTAAACACACAATCACAGATGTAAAGAGCATTCGTGTTTATTTGAAGCTCTGACTTCTGTTATTGAAAGTTAAACGAAAAAATGATTGAATGTGGAGACCTTTAATTTGTTACTCACCGAAGAAATACAGCGAAAAGCAGACGCCGACCACGACTACTACGACAGTTTTTTTTTTTGTTTTTTTTTTTTACATCACGTGATTTCTTTCTGCCAATCGTATTCGTCGCTCTGAGCGTTCCCTAGTTTGCTCTGTTTGTCCCTAGATTCCCTACGCAAATCCAGCGTTTAGCTAGGGGCGCGTCTGTAAAGCCGGCTTAACCTTGGTGCAACCGGAATTTAAACCCGTGCTTACCTAAGCTCGGTTTAGGGCGCTAAGCCGGCTTAGGAAAGTGCCGCTTTGGGTTAAGGTAAGCGGCGTTGGTGCAACCGGCCCTAAGCCGTACTTACACCAACAACTTTTCGCTCCACCATTTTATATTCCACCACGCATTTACCATCAGTTCAAAGTGAGTGTCTCTAATTAAAGTACTACCGTATTTTACCATTTATTTGTCCCTGAAACATCACTGGAATGGAATCACCTTCTGTCTTTTATTGTACCCATTGGTAATTATCAACTGCTTAAAAATCTTGTTAACACCCTTCATTGTTTTGAGACAACATGAAGCGTAAAATTACTGTCTTTTTTATTGTTATCTTTTTTTTTAGTTCCCACTCCCCTCTTAATTAGCCCTGAGGTTACGTAAATAAAGGAATAAATATGCACGGTTATAATTCCCGCTGAAAATATGGGGGTGGAGCTTTTCCTACCCTTCCGTTGACAAAAAGATAAAAAAACTCTAAACCAAGCTTGTCTTTGCATGACGCGCGTTTCTGTCCTGCTGTCGTCTTTTCAGCCTGTCGAGACACTCACATTCTCCAGCGGCGTGGGAGTGTCGTAGCCCCCGAGGCCTGCGTCTCCCTTCTTCCCTTCACACGTCCCTGTGTGGACGGACCCCTGAGCTTGACCTCTTGGATGGCGGCACTCGGGAACATTCCCTGGCGGCCGTCCCGTGTCCGTCCCTCCAGCATGCCCGTATCGGTGACTTCGGTGACTGTACACGATCACGCGAGCAAAAAAAAAAAATACACACGGCATTCGAACCTCACCCATTGGTGTGAGTTCCTCAAATAGACGTCAAACAATTCAAAATAAAAAAAAATTATACTTTTTTTAGGAGTGATTTTGGAGAAATAATGTTACTATACTTGCTGTCACATCAAAAAAAAAAAAAAGCTTTGCGCATTATTTATGCATTGCGAAAAGTAGTGCTTACAACACGATTCGGTTGTCGAAAAGCGTTTGGAACGTGTACGCCTTAATGAAATGACATAAAGCTAATCCAAGATGAAGATATCTAAATTCAACAGATAGTCGGGGAATTAGTAAAGTTCCGCGAGGAAACGGACGTTTTTTTTAATTATTAGCACGGTTTTTAAGGTGACCACGAGTACAGGGATGTCGCGAAGCTGCTGAGGTTGTTCAAGTCCGACCAGGTTTGACTTTCATAAATTTTCAAAGCGAAGTTCGGAAAAAAAGTTCGACTGAAGTTTGACTATCAGGCGCAGAAGTTGAGAACGAGCTGATGGTTACCTGCTGGAGAAGGCTGGAGAAGAATTTGAAAGTTACCTACTGTGAACCTTATATATATATATATATTCTCTTCTTTTTTTTTTTCGAATTGTTCAATTCTTATGTAGAAAGTGGGCAACACCGTTCGAAAGGCGAACTTCATCAAATTTCGCCAAAAGGATCAGCGAACCAGTCGATGTTCAGGTTCGACATCGCTTTGCAACATCCTCAGATGTAACGTCATAAACGAGACCATGTGACAAGGTCAGTCACATGACCACGCCATGTTGCCTAGTTCACGACTTCACGCCACGTCTACCGCGAACGGACGCTCCGTTCACAGGGGTTTGGTAAGAGTATGTGAGCAGTTTTGCTACCAAAACGCGATAAAAAGAAAAAAAAAAACACCTGTGCGTGTACCTTCTCGCAGAGCACTCGGGTGAGCCAATCACTGTGATCTACGGAGGAATCTCGCAGAGTCACGCATGCTTAGCTGTGACAGCGCAGGCTGTATCTTTTGGTCGAAACGAGCTTATCGTGTCCAAAAACGTACGCTGTAAACTCGTGTTCCAAGGCTCTGATTTATGACTTCAAGGATGTGATTCCATGTGATTTTATCAATCCGCGAAGAAATTGATTGTTCATCTGTCTAACAAATTCGCAACACCTTTACAAGTGGACCGCGCGTTTTGGCACACATGTGTGCCAAAACCAAAAAAAAATGTAAGACGGCGGCGCGCGGGTAAGCACGCGCATTGGATGGCAGCTTGTGCCGTCTACCCAAAAGCGGCAGAGGCCGCGAAAGACAAGCCGGTCGCATGCCTCAGCCACTGTCGTAAAGGTGGCACAACCTGCCGCCCAACCCGTATGTTCACTCGCGTTCATGACAGTGTCTCTTGTTTTTATTTCCATTATATTCAGTTTCACCCTAAATCCAACCAGAGCCGACGCTACGACCGACTATACAGCCAATCAAGCAGCGTCATAAATGCATCGTCATGACGCAGGTCGTCTGTATGCATTTGCTATCACAGTCTAGACTCTAGACCAATTACGCACCAACAAAATCGCAGGGTCACAACAGTGCATTCGCTGTGCGTGTTGGTTAAGCGATTGATATCACAAGCACAAGGACGACGAGCGCTATCACGTGATGCACTGCGCTGCACGATAGGCCCCATCGGAACGTAGTGTCGCTTTGGTAGGGCTTAAAGGGAAACGGATTATAGACCAACTGTCGGTATTGCGCATGCGCAGACGCTTCGCTCCTCCCAAATTTGGTTTCTGTGCATGCGCAGTGCCCACACCAGCTTAGTGTGGGCAAAGCGGGCTTGTCTGTAAACACAGTGTTGGTGTACAATCGTTGGCACGCACCACTGAAAGCGGCAACGCAGAAGATTGAAAGCGTGCCTTTTGCACTTCTTTGCTTTGCTTTGCTATGCTTATCGCGTTTCTCGACAATCTGCAGCGTCGCGGTAAAATCAAATTCGCTTAATCCCGTCGGAGACGGTCAACATTTCCCTCGAGTTTAGCAAGTTTGGATCCCCTGCATTTTCGTTTAACCAATAACGTGGCCCCTGGAAGGGAGTCCCGAAAAATATCGCGTAAATAGTTTTCACACGTACAGTCGGCCGCAAAATTTTGCGGGACATGGGAGCGCCAGCCAAACTGCATTGCCGCGCCGTCTCGTGGCCCGCTGCCTGGTGTCAAGACCCGCGCATTGCGCATGCGCGGTCTTTCATACTAGGAGGCTTGTCCTGTTCCCTGGCTTCCGTCCGACGCGCTCCCGATTACTGCGACCGGCGCAAGGTGCCGCTTCGTAACCGCTATGCATAGAGTTCCTGTATATGCTACCTCCGGTAGCATTCCAGCGAAATGTTATCTGGGCTTCTAAACTCGTCATGCACAAAGTTGGGGCCGAAGTTGACGGAGCGCACCGATGGGCTCATCACGACGATGACTTGGCGCTTTTTGCGCCGACGTCCAATAGACGCGCTCCGCGAACTTTGGGCTCATACTTTGTGTTTGACGAGTTTAGGGCCCTTAGAAAGTGCACCGCGACGCGAAGAGGGTTCAAGCGAGCTTGGCTGCCCGTCGCGCCGGCTGAAGCAGACTCGCTGCACAGCGGTTGCGAAGCGGCATCTTGCGCCGGTCGCAGTAATCGGGAGCGCGTCGGACGGAAGCCAGTGAACAGGACAATCCTCCTAGTATGAAAGGCCACGCATGCGCAATGCGCTGGTCTTGACACCAGGCAGCAGGCCACGAGACGGCGCGGCAAGGCAGTTTGGCTGGCGCTCCCATGTCCCGCAAAATTTTGCGGCCGACTGTACATTTAATTAGACGGAAACAGACTGGGCAATTTTTCGGGTATGGGCGTTCATTCGGGATTGTACGGAAGTATCTACACCGCCATAACTGATCTATAACGGATTCGTTGCAGCGTCCAGTGTCACTCGCCGGGTGGCGCAAGCCGCCGCCCTCTTCAAAAGGTGCAGCAGTATCATAGTTCATCGACACGCACACCGTGTTAGGAATGCCAGTCGAAAGCTCGCCGAACCTTGAACGATGTCGCCGCAATTGAGCGCCAGATGACCCGTCAGGGGGCTCTGGTATTCGGTGACGCAGACGCAAGTGGTGCCCACTGTGATCACATCTGGGGTGTCCGAACTCTCGGTACCAGAGTCACAGCTGGCCGCACTGTTGCTCGTACAGACGCCGGAAGAGTCGCTGGCCGCACTTTTTTCTGCAAGATGGCAGCGCCTCCGTCAGCACTCCTCAATGCCGCGCCGTCTCTTGTCACTCACCATCCATGTTAAATGTGCAAACATCGCCCTGGAAGTCCTCCAAAATGTGCATAGAAGATGATCAAAGTACAATGCGTTCTATCATACACCGACGCGCGTCTCTCATGATGTCACGTCGCTGCGGTGGTGCTGTCGTCGGTGAGGCGACCTGGCTGTGACACAGCCAGGATCGCGGTTGGTGAAAGAAGCACACTTTAATGACGTCATAAGGCGGAAATCGAGGGACCACCGTTTCGGACGCGATAAACAGAGGAGTCGGAGACTCGCTACAGGCACCATATTTGGTCTACAGAACTGTACTGTAGTCCATGACAGCTTACAAAACGGAGGGCACGGCGACTACCCGAGCATCTGAAGCGTGAACGCAATCGCTTTGCCTTTCTGACGCTGTCAGCCGACTAAGCATATCCTGCGTCAGTTTCATTGGCCTCGTGTCGTATCTTTCCGTTGTATATACACTCCATCGCTACGCTTAATTTGTGTTTCTCCTATGAAAACTCCGTGCGCCGAGTATAGCGGCAACACAGTGTTTTGAATTTTGATACCGCGCCATACAATGTCCTTTCAGTACCGGGTATACGGTCTAGAGCTTACATAAAAGTGGCGTTAGGCAACTAAACAATCGGACATATGTGCATGTCGCTAGAGCAGAAAGTTGGTATTCACGAAACCATGGTGAGCTGTGTCTTCGCTGAAACCAATTATTAACAAAATAATTTGTTGGCAGACATATATTACGAGGCACAAACTTGCATCTCAGGAACAACAACCACTATAGTCAATGACAGTTTAAGAAACACGCGGCGTACGCTTACACTTGGTTGTTTGGTGTTTTAGTGGTTGACGCCGCAATCTCATCGGTTGCTGCAGGGACAATAAAAGGTCCGGGACTTGCCACGCCCGATGTTTCTTAAGTTGTAGGTTACTGTAAAACGCATGATGGGAATCCGACAGCGCTCAAGATCGATGACCAAAAGAGGAAGCACGCAAGACAGGACAGAGCCTGCCGTGTCTTGTGTGTGTGTGTGTGTGTGCCTTTTCTTAGCAATCGATCTTGAGCGCAGTTGGAGTTCCATCGTGTTTAACGCACACCAACCGGCCCAATTCTCGATTCCGCTACAACTACACAACCATCGATTGCATTCGTGCACAGAAACATTGTACCAAACAAAAAACACTACGACACTACACGAACTCGCAGTTGCTCTGACAACAGACGCACGAACCAAACTCACCAAAGATTAAAGAACGACAAAAATAAAACAAGGAACAAAAAGGGTAACAAAAAACCTAAAGGGTAACAAAGACCTAAAAAACTTTTAAAAAAAAATAAACGAAAAACCCCAACGCACCGGTGGTGGAACTAGCCGCCGTGCCACAGCTTCCCTCGCTGTCCTCCGCGTTGGCGTGCGCCGCGGCCGTAGCAGCCGAAGACGAAGACGCCATGGACGAGGCCTCGGACACGGTGGACGCGGACGAGAACGGAGGCAGGGACCGATTCGACGGGCACGGGGACGGAGGCTTGGCGCCCAAAACCACAAGCTCGAGCCTCGGGTCACTGTGGGTGCGGCTCAGGGCCGCGCTGCTCGCCCTTCGCCGAGGGTTGTACTGCGGCGGTTCGCGGTACGGTACTGCGGGGGACACAGTAAAACCGACTTGAGTTCGCCATCAACTCAAGGGTTCTATTGCCTTCTCTAGGCTATACTAGAAAACACAGAATCAGTCTCAAGCGGTGACGGCACCAGAAAGTTACGACAGACTTCCGACTCCTGCCTCGTGGCTTTGCGGAACCATTCCCTTCAACTTTTCCTCGAGATTTAGCCTGCCTCTGCCGTCAACTCAAGAGTTCTACTACGCTGCCCATCTAGAAGACACAGAGTCAGTTCCAAGCAATGAAGGCATCTCAATATTGCGACAGATTTCGAACGCCTTGCCTCGTGGCTTTCTGGAACTATTTCCCTAAAAGTTTCCTCGAAATTTACCTTGCCTCTGCCATGAACTCGAGTTCTACTACGATACCCTACTGGAAGATCCAGAATCAGTCTCAAGCAATCATACCATCTGAATGTACTTCAGACTCCCTACGCCATGCCTTGTGGCTTTACGGAATCATTTACTCAATATTTACCTGGTGTCTGCCGTCAACTCAAGAACTCTACTAGACTACGCTACTAAAAGACACAGACTCAGTCTGAAGCAATCAAGGCATCTGAAAGTCACAAGAGACTTCCAACGCATGCCTTGTGGCTTTACGGCACAACTTTTTCAAGACTTGCACTCCGTGAATCTGATATGCCGAACGCTGCAGCTAATGAAGTAGCGCGATTGGAGATAAGCAGTGGTGCAGTGTTTGCGTTCTTAGATACCACCGATTCCGAAGTCACATCGCTTCCTTGGTATCAAGAAACAAGTGAGCTCATGTCCAAAAACGCGCATTATGTCTTTGAGTATAAACATAGGGTTCATGGTCTCACTAATGCAGTACTCCTCATGCCAGGCCCGAAGGATTCGTCTTGCTACATGACTTTATTCCGATTATCTCTACAATACTGGAAAACTGAAACACTTCATTTCTGTATATCGACTGAACATCAAGGAAGGTAAATTAAAATGACTGTGCCACGACGATGATGACATGAATGCTGATGATGAACGGGATGATGTGATGTCTTCAGTGGAATTCTAAGACCAACTAATGGAATCTTCCAGCTGTGGTGTATGTGAAATAATATATTTTGGAAAATTGAAACACCCTTTTCTTGTTCTCCGTTACTGGGATGACCTTGATGTAACCAGCTGGGCAAAACTCAGAAAGGAAATGCAAAAGGCGGTCGCCTGCAGGACCTCGCCAGTTTTTAAGCCGATCCCACATCAGTACCAGGGTGGATTCCGAATTTTTCTTTGTTTGTTTTTTCCCGCAAATTCTTCTTTCTCTCCCCCCCCCCCCCTCCCCCCCCCCAAAAAAAGAGAAGAGAAAAACAAGGTTTAAATGAACGCAACAAATAAAAATGATAAAACAAAAGTCAAAAGGTTTTGGATACTGCCCAATGATGTACTTTAAATGTGTAGAGTCTGCAAAATGGATGAGCGTGCATTTGTCTGTGCAACGTGCGTATAGTGCATTGCAACACATTTCGGGAGTTTTCTACAGTGTAAAGCCAAAGTCACACTCTTCATACATGACACAAAAGGCACGGTGTGTTTCCTACCGATGCAGAATGACAGACGTTTCTGCGGACGCGCCTCAAATACCTTCCGAACATGTTCGCTACATACGTACGTATGTGCTTCGAACTTGTCTTCAGACAGTTTTGGTATGGCCAATTTGACAGGACCATTATAAAAGTAAAAAATGCGCTTCAAGCAGTGTCTGTAGACTGCCTGTAGACCCCGGGTTTATAAAATAACACAAGCGTGAGCTCGTATCGTAAAGCAAAGCTCTCATGCCTCCCCTACACACTCAAAAGCTGCCGCATGTATACTGCCCGCAACACACTCCAGTCGCCAGTCATTTGTCTTTCTTCAACCGAGCCATCTGGTCAATGGGAGGGGATATCAGTATGATGCTTCAGTAATCATTCCGTCACAGTGACAAAATGGTTTATGCTCGTGAGAGCATAATACCGACAGACATTCTCATTGGCCAAAGGGATTTAATGTCATGAGTGCATCACGGGACAGTATGCCCTCAGGTACTACTCAGAGTGTACATTCACAAAAGCATCATCATTGAAGTACTTATTATGTTTTTAAAGGCGCCTGCTCCTCTGTCTTCCACGCAAATATTGCTATTTTAAAGGCTCGTTTATACCTCGGCGAAACGCGTGCGCGCGGCTTGGCGACCGCCTTGGCAAGAGCCAGGACCCTATACACTTCGCTGTCTCACCGCAAACGACGCAACCGGCGGCGTTCGGCGCGCTCTGATATCGTCGACGCGGAGATAGGACCGCAAAATCAGGATCCATGGCACGCCTGCTCTCCGGAGAGGCACCGCGGGACCACGTAAGCGGCACGGGCACGGCCTCAAGTTTGACTTTGGACCATCGCAATAGTCGCCTTCGGCGGGCTGCCATCTTAATCTCTAATTTGCCGTGGAACTCGCACTAAACGGGTGCGGTAGCTCTCTTCTGCGGAACATCAAACAACGCGCATACGTCGACAGCTCGGTGATTCAGCATTTTCTTTTTCCACGTCATAATAAGTGCTGGAAAGGTGTGTAGAGGGGTCAAATTTCTGACTCGTGCGGTGTCACCAACTTAGCGTGTCTGACGTCGACACTTGCACGCCTACGCGCTGAAAACATCGAACTATAAACGGGCTTTAAGCCGCGCGCCTACTGCTACTACATCATCCAAAAAACAGTCTGCAGAGAAACTGTCTAAGGCTCTAAGGCGTCTTTCTTCCTTTGCATGACCGGTCGCATTAGTCATACAAAAACTGTCTCCAAACATGTTCGAAGTACACATACATGTGAAGCAAACGTGCTATGAACTTGCTCTAAGCGCGTCCGCAGCACATTCTGTCATGATGTCGGCAGCGAACACCGTGGATAGATGAATGGATGGATGTTAATGGCTAAACCCTTTGTAACGGGCGGTAGCTTGCGCCCCCTAGCCTAAGTCTAAAAAGACATCGTACGAAAGACGTGTCTTTATCTGAGCGGTGTGACTAGGGCTTTTCAAACAACAAATGGGCGCTGGTTCAAGCGGTGCAATCTGTGCAAGAAGCTCGGCGAACGGCGAGACAAAGAGAGCAACAGATCGCGACCAGAAGACCCACCGACGTCCTCTGGCTTGTGGTTTCGGATGACGTCTGCGAGGGCCAGGTTCCCGGCGATGACGGCGACCTGGTAAGGGTTCTGGTTGGCGTAGTTGAGGGCGGCCGGGTCGGCCCCCCGGAACAACAGCACCCTTGCGCAGCTCTCCCGGTCGTTGACGGCGCACACGTGCAGCGGTGTGTTGCCGCTCGCGTTGCGCGCGTTCATGTCCGCCCCGTAGAACAGAAGCTGCTCCAGGTGCTGGACCAGGCCGTGCTTGCACGCCTGGTGCACCTCTTGCCAGCCCTGATGCAAAGAACGCACATTCCAAGTGATTCGTTAAAAAAAAGTGTCAACACGAGAGAAATTGAGAGACTTTTGTTGTAGGAACCAAGTCCGTACAACAGATTCGTTATCGGAATATAAGCGCGTACAACGAATTACCTGCGAAAATATAGGTTCGTACAACGAATTTGTTGTACGAATAACAGTTTGTCTAACGAACTCGATTGTTATAGGAATATAGGTTCGTAGAACATAGTTGTTAAAGGAGTTTAATAAGTTTATAGAACAAATTCGTTGTAGGATCCTAAGTCCGTACAACGATTCCGTTATAGGAATATGAGCTCGCAGAACAAGTTGTTTGTGGGTTTATAGGTTGGCACAACGAATTCCTTCAAATTCGTGATACAAATATAAGTTCGCACAAAAAATCGAATTCGTTGTAGGAATACAAGTTTGTAGAGCTAATTCATCGAATTCGTTATAGAAATATAACTTCGTACAATAAATCATTTGTAGGAATGTAGGTTCCTACAATGAATTAATTGCGGGAATATTACATTACAAGCCCGTCTAACGAACTAGTGATACGAATATAAGCTTGTACAACAAATGCTTTATGAAAATATGGGCTCCTATAATATATTTGTTGTAAGAAAGTGCGTGGTTTGGCGAGTCCGTGCATGGTGAGAATAAATCAAACAGCGCAAATTGGTCACAGGGACAAGTGAGAACACACAAACAGCGTTGTGTTTGTGTGTCTTCCACAGGTCCTTGTGTATTTTATGGGCTGTTTTACTTATTCTCGCCGTAAGAATATTATATAAACGGGTCCAACGGATCCGCTACTAAGGATATAAGTTCGTACAAAAAAATGCTTTCTAGAAAGATAGACTTGTACAACGAACTCGTTAGTCCCTTCGACAAATTCGTTGGAGGGAAACCAACTCATTGCAGAAATTTAAGTCGGCTTGCCTCAAACTCAAGTGAGATATCTACCCTTAGAGCAGTAATCTGGCAGCGTAGTGTCACTGCTGGGCGGCGATATTCAGTGTGCATTACGCCTTTTCATATTCAAGCAAGAAGGCATCGGAAGTGAACGGATGGTTTCGAGTCTGCTGCCAGCACAATTGCTCTCATTCCAGATGCTGCAAGGCCCCGTATCATGAACAGTTTCGCACACCAAACTTTATGATTCAGTAGTAAAGCAGGACAGGCGCGGTAACGAAAAGCGGAGGTCGACACCGACAGAATGGAAGCGGAAGAAAACAACTTCAGAGTCACTGTGGAAATAAAAACCCCGCAGTCAATCAAAATATGTGGCTAAATAGATCGAAATAGCCGGTTCCTGCTTTATTCATCTCTTCTCCCGAGACTTCATAGGCATAGGCTCTCCGAGTACATCATATGGCTGGCCCCCCTTATGAAGTTCTAAATATAAAACAGGCGCTGACATCCAGGCGCAGGTTGTCATATTGATTACAATGATATCCGACCTTCACCAGTCGTAGTTGCCCGAAATGCTGTCAACTCTATAACATAGATATGCGGCCCCCCGACACCTCTTTCAAAAAAAAAATAAAAAATCCTGCCTTCGTTATTGGTGCGCACGCATGCAGAGTGCAATGGCTCCGTCACCTGTGGATCGGCGATGCCCGGTTGCGCGTGGTCGTGCAGCAGGAGCTCGGTGAGCTGAGGGTCGGCGTTCCACAGGACGGTGTAGTAGAGCGGCGTCAGTCCCCGGGCGTCTTTGTAGTTGGGCGACGCCCCGAGGTCGAGCAGCGTGCGCAGGGCCTCCAGGTTGTTGCGCTCCACGGCCCGATGCAGTGCGGTGCGGCCGTCCTTGGTGCGGAAGTCCAGCAGGGCGCCGCCGTTCACCAGGGCAATGATCACTTTGGTCGGGCCCTTCAGACCCGCGGCCAGCGTCAGCGGAGTCTCTGCGTCGACACGCGGATGCGCATGAGGACCGGTCCTAGGTTTTATCAGCGCCCCTGTCATTGGTCACGCCGCGGTCTTAAATGCTCATATATCATACCATAGCCTCCTATATACTGACAAAGCCTGACAGATCGCCATGAGAAGCGGCCGCCGAAATGGAAGAGGTTGAGCGGCTGACAACAGATGAGAAAAGAGCCACGTAACTGGCGCCCCGCTGCGGCGAGACGCCGAAACACACTTCTCCAGAGCGAACAAGTGTGTTTCGGGTCCTCGCCGCTGCAAAAGCTGTGAGCTGACGTCCAGGTTCCCCGAGAAATGGCTCTTTGATGCTCTGTGCTACCAGATCCTCGCGACCGGGCACTCTATGTGCTGCGACCTGCGACCGGGCACTCTATGGCTCCGTCGTCGAACTGCCAGGCTTTGTAAGTATAGAGGAGGCTATGGTCATACATGATGACAGAATTACCCACGCACAAACCTTATGCATGTTCTAAGCATGTTTGCTTCATGCGCATGTAGGCTTCGAACATGTCGGCAGACATGTTTTTTACGACAAACGTTACAGAACTGTCACGCAGTAAAGAAACACGACTCGGGCAGTGTCTTTAGAAAGTCTTTTGTATGATGTGGAAGCAGTTTGGCTGCGGCTTTAAGGTTAAGCATCCGATACCAACATCCCCGGATCCCAGGACCGATACAAAAGAAATCGCACAAATCCGCGACGACCTTCATCTCCAAAATCCTATAATCATAATACATAAAATGAAGTATTTTGGATCATTTAAGTTTGTTGACGACATTAAACAGTCGTTTCGTGAAGTGAAGAAGGACCTGTTATTTTTATCCAATTCCCCCTAAAATCAGCGGAGATATTCGCGTGACGGCCCTCCATGAGGGTTCTTCGTGACGGTTCTCTCATGGAATATAGTTGATAAAACAGATTCTCTGTTAAGAGGGGCGAAGGAACCACCCACCTCCCGTGTCCGGGCAGTGGAAGTTTGGGTCCAGTCCCCTGGAACAGAGCTTGGTGACTTTCTCCACGTTCGAGTTGCTGACGTGGTCTAACATCCGCCGCAGGTTGGCCCGGGTGTGCAGCTGCTTGATCTGTTTCTCCTCCACGTTGATCATCTTGTACACTCGGCGCTTGTAGCGTAACTGCGCCACGAGAGAGGAGCGGCCATTTATACAGGCACCCCGAACAACCCCTAGCACAGCCCGAGGCTGAGCCCAACACCCTCTCAAAATTCTCTACACAACGCCATTACAATGAAATACAATTAATAACCTTGTTTTCGCATCAAATTGATAATGATGAGGTGGGGAAAGAAGTTGCAAAATAACTCGACGGGTTCCGGTCCCCTACAGTGGCACAAAAACAACTCAAGAAACAAAAAAAAAACAACCTCGGTTGGGCACTTTACATAAACATTCAAGCGAAATACAAGAAATGCAACTGAAAGAAAACACGTGGTTCAGCACAACATACAATTCATTCAAATACAGCTAAACAATTTACGAATAACTTTCTTTGATGGTTAATGGTTAGAGAAGACTGGATGCTTAGATTACAATTGGTAAGACTGTTGAGTAAACACGGGAAGGCATATTCTAACATATATATTTTCTTTTGTAATTCGTTCTGTGAGTGACCGTCTCCCAAAGTTCGGCGCGACGGGTGAGGTAGGCTTTAACGTTCCTCGTCAGGAATGCAGGATAACTAAAAAATAGAGTTTCTATTTTCCTGGACTGACTTTGATACTAGCGCTCAATTAATAACCGCCTAAATTTTATAATGTACGCAAACCTATCATGTACATGATCCTCCCCCCACTCCTCCCCCCCGAGACAAGAGCCTTCCCAGAAATTTGTAATAATCTGGGAAAGGGGGGGGGGGGGGGGGGGGCGGTGGGACATAGACAATCCTGGATAAACCCTTAAAGAGCAGGTGGACATATGTTAAAACTTAAAAGATACAGAGAGAAAGGGTTCTAGACCCGACATATGTGTTCTGTTTTTAATTTCACGTATTCTGAACTCCGTCTCTGACTCTTGTCTAGCGACAACAAAAAGTGAACCAAAAGGCACGTACCTCCAAGTAGGCTACTGCGTCTGTGAGCGGGTAGTCGGCAATCGGCCGCTCTTCGTCCAGAAATTTGCCAGCTTTTCCGTTCACAGGCGGGCAGTAGAGACCGTAGTTGAAGCCTTCTTTCAATTCCTGCGGAATGTGCGAGGAAAAAGAAAAAAAGTCAGATATCAAATCCGGAATTACGAAAACAGGGGAATTGACAAGCCACTTGAATAAACTAAAACTCCGAACTAACGCCCACCACTTAAATTGTTTCTTTCTTTTTTTTTTTCCGTTGCTCTGTGTGAGAGTTTATTCGGAATTTTAAAATATATACGTTTAGTGATACCTGATTTGAATGCATTGATGCACCAATTTAAATCTCTTCACCACATGCCGTAAGATCTCGAATGAACGCCCACCCCGGGTGAAGAAATTTGAATTAGTAAATTGGTGCATTAAAATCAACTATCACCAGACACATTTTATATGTTTTGTGATTGCTCATCTGAATGCCACCAATGTACCAATTCCCACCTCTTCGCCGTGAATGGGCGTTCATTCGTGATTTTGAAGTACATAGGATTGGTGATGTTCGAATTCACCAATGGACCAGTCCCAGCAGTGAACTAGTAACTCAAATTCCAAGTCACAATTCAATTTGGTAAAACATATAAAATAGCGCAACAGAAAGACAAGGACAAGAAGTATACAGGACAGGCGCTAAGTAGGGTACGTTGTTGGGCTAGTTGGTTCATCTTAGTATACATATAAAATAGCGCTATTTTATATGTTTTACTAAGATGAACCAACTAGCACAACAACGTACCTTACTGAACAATTCAATTTCTTTTCTTTCTTTCCTTTGTTTTTTTTTTTTTTTTTTTTGCTAAGGTATTGAAGTTTTACATTTGGTTTGAGAGGCTGAAAGGTTCTACTGGCAACACTGAAAACGTGATGTCAGACGTTATAATGTGGGCAAAAACGGGGCATTACAGCTTGTTCCCGCGGGGTTACAAAAAGCTTGATGGTGTGAAATGAATGCCGGTTAAGCTCGTGACAGCCAAAATGAAAAATAAAATAAAATCATGCGCAAATTGCTGTTTTTAGACTGCCTGCTGGACTCATAAGTTACACAAGCAACGTCACTATATTGGATGGCGCGGGCAAATTTTGAATGTTGGTTATGGCACCACATTCATTTCCCGTTTTCTCAATAGCTATTTTGAATTTAGAAATGATAAATAGCAAGCCAGAAAGAGCAAAGCCCGGTTATTCCGAAAATGGGTTGAGTCTAGGCAGCCCAAAAAACGAAAATAGCCAAGGCGTCCTGGTTCACCAGCCATTCCAAGTTCGGCTGACGGATCTTCCCCTTGCTGAAGTATATAACAAGCAAAGGCAAAAAAAAAAAAAAAAAAAAAAACACTCGTTTTAAAGTGACTTACTTTAGGCAGTGATGAGATGATGTGCTGCTTGATGTCCCATATCAACTCCTCGCGTTGTACGTGAAAACATTTCTGTAAAAAGAATAGAACCGAATGGGCATATAACAACCAAACAATTGAGACATTAATATAATTACGTGAGAAATGAATGATAAAAATAGAGTGTTGAGAAACTCAGCTATTCACGTGAAAACACACATGTCGCACTCAAAAGAGATTGGCACTATATTTGTTACTGGCAATCTAGAGCTGCAGGTACCAGTCAATCTAATCATGTGCTAAGCTAAACATTAATGTACCAGGTTATTCAAAATTTGATGGACACAAAAGGAACTCCACGGAAAAACGCAGTATGCGTTACTGCGATGATGTAAACAAGCGGCTCTTCAAAATTCCTGAAGCGAGCTTTTTTATTATTATCAAAGTAGAAAAAGCAAAAACACCCGTTCGGAAATGGTGCCAATTTCTTATCTACCGCCATCTCCGCTCGGGTGCTCTAATTCACGGGCTCACGTCTTATCTTTTATCTATATCCCCCTCCCCATCCAAAGAGGCGGTTGTGATTCCGTTCGTCAGGTGGCAGCTCGTGAATTTAATTAAACGACTATCGAAATCACTCAGGGTTTAAGATACGTAAGTTTTGTAGCTTCCTCTGTTTGTTTTATCACACTGGCGAAATCAAGGCACGCTTTGTTAAGAGAGACTGATTAACCGATTTCCGATGGCACCCGGCAAGCGTCTGATCGAAACCGTGCCTGTGGCCTGCATAATGAAGATTCATTATTCAGAATTAAGTCTCCCCTTAATTATTCTGAACGCCGCAAGGGGACGCCTTGGCTATGACCGATATCGATCTGTCGGGGATCTGATGTGGTTGCACCCAGAATCATTTCATTAGCGCTCTTTGAGCCACATATCCTTGGGCCTCTGCATCCGCCCAGGGTGCGGAGTCAGCACCGAGCAGGTGTTTGTTACTAGGAAGGAGATCCAACCGCCACCCCCTAGCGGCGAAGTTGAGAACTAAACCCGTGGAGAAAACAACGATATTAATTATTTATTCATTTTTCCGACGCAACGCTCGGTTGACTCGTGTTCAATCAGTAAAACAGAAAAGTGAACATGCGTTCCAGCTGAACGCGGTGTCTCGATCGACGCAGATGATGAAACGAATCCAGTCCACAAGCCAATTGTGTTGGGTTAACAACACGAAGGCATTTAGGAAACACAATGTGCCGCGGAAAACAAGATGGGCAAAGCGTTCCTACACGGTTCGACCTCCCCGCTGATACATCCCTTTTTTTATGCAGTATAGCGAAGGCTACAAGCGAGAGCACCTTGCTCGAGGACAGACCTCGAAGGCACTAATTCTCGCTCAGCGATACTTAATAATAATAATGCTGCGTGTATGTTTATACAGCTGCAAGTTAGCTCTCAATGAGCGTCTGGTGTCTCAGCTGTAGGTGAGAAATTTTGCCAGTACAGCACAACAGCTAGCCCCTGGTCTTTAACGTGCTGTAGTGATACACGACCGCACTCCGGTGCGATGCTCATCCAGATCGAAACAGGCAGGGGTGGGGTTGAACCCAGGGTTTTGCAGCGCTCCAAGCTGGTTTACAGTGCACACCAGCTAGGGGTGGGGTCGAACCCAGGGTTCTGCAGCGCTCCAAGCTGGTTTGCAGTGCACACCAGCTCGGAGCTCCACGTGCTCCGAGCTGATGTGCACTAGCCCACTCGGGCACCGATCACCCATCGCTCAGCAGGATCAAGGGGGGATCGGTAGCTCAGCAGGAACAACTGTAAACATTGTGACTTCGGACTTCTTTTGGCGACGTGCACGACCAAAAGCGCATCACCGTGGCGACATTCGAGATTGGACAAGCGTTCACTATGACGTCTTTCTTTGGATTGATTTTTCTTTCATCGCCGGAAGTAAAAATCTGTCAAAAATTGTCCTGCAATTGTGTTGCTACGTGAAACGCTCTTGGTTTAGCGCTAATGGTGCTAAACCACTAGCGCTAAACCAAGTTTATTCGCGACTCCAGCAAAAAAAAACGCCACCAAGCGGGAAAACCGGGAACCCGCCGGTCCAGGTCGCTCCGCGCCCCTCCGCGTCTCCGGTGGCTTTCGCGGACACGTGTTGTCGGCGCGGTGGCGGACAATGTATATTGACTAATTGGTCCAAAAATTTCTTAAGTTTGCCTGAGAGTTCATTAGTGTGGTGAAGCCTCGGTAGATTGTTTCCTTCCATCACGTGTCTGAAAGCCCGTTCGAAGCACACGGTCGCGTGCTTTCAATTTCTTGGATGGGGGGGGGGGGGGGGGGGGGGGGGGGGGGAATCACGGAAAAACGTTTTGATTTCTTGTTTGTCTCGAACCACATTGAAAGTGACGACTAGTTGGTAACTGATGAGTGGTTTCTTTATAAGGATGTAGAACAGTGGACTGAGGACGACAGACGAGGCATTTCACTGGAGGGAACACCAATGTTGCAGTCAAGTGAATGAGAAGGTTCGATAGCTGCTTTTTTTTTTAGTTTGGTTGTATTCGGTTAGCTTCACGTTTGAGCCACCCACGCCGGTCGGTGCGTTGGCTATTCATCTTGGCTGTTTTTCGCTGAAAAAGCCTCTGGACCACACTGAAAGAGTTTGGCTGATTTCGCAATTACTTGATTCAGGAAAACCTGCTCGCTGCAAATGATGAATGAGGGAAATTATATGTTTTCAAAAGGTGGGGGACGAGTCTCCGAACGTTCGAAGCTGTCGCGTCATTTTGATCTATCGCGCCTCCAATATTTATATTATACCACCATCAAAGCCAGCATTCCTCAGGTTGACCGGCCACAAAAAAATACTAATTTTCTCCGTTCAGGATTCGAAGCAAAATTCAATGCAGAGAGGTTCTGCGTGAATCTCCAATGAAGACTCTGTTCAGTTTGTCTCCGTGCTGCCGGCTAGAACCATTTGGCTGCTAAGTTTAAGTAGCCTCTCTGTCTGTCAAATATACTTTTGTTCAGCAGTTCGCCTAATAGGTAGTGAACTAAGCTCATATTTCAACCCGAAGAGTATACTAATATCGTTTTAGTGGCACATAGTACATAATATAATGCATAACCCGCTCGTCAAAATGACTTCTCAATTGCTACTAAAACCTGAATTGAAATACGAGTATCAGCTACTTAGTGGGGCGCCAGCTGGTTAACATGCTCTTGGCTCAAGAAGCGCTTGCTTAATTTTCGTAATTTTTCTGCAGCCTGTGTTGTTGACCGAGCAGACGACTGGAGCTGTTTCTTAAACGCGGATACGCACAAAAGCTGAAAATTACTCTCGGTGGAACAATTCTGTAGTCATCGCCGTTTTCCTTAGATGATCAAAACTGATTAGTATATTATCGTCTCTCCGGAGCCCATAGTTTCGGTTTTGAACGAAATCTCCGAAACGAAAGTTTGATATGAAAAGAACAAAAAAACACTGGGAAAACAAAACTATGCTTTGCAAGTTTATGTGCACCGGCTACACTTAACCGTCTCAGTTCAAATACATATAAAATTGGGCATTAAGCATACAGGCCCGTTCACACTCTTGCGACCGAGTACGACTGAGAGAGACGAGATCTCTTACAACTTCTTAAATGTTTCTAGAATGAGGGAACACACTGACATTGTGGCGCCATCTATGCGGTGACCCTAGAACTGCATTTCACAAAAGCGAAAGTTTTGCGGGATTTCCGAGGTCAAATGTGCGTAATACCCATAGAAAGGCTCGTTTATAACATTGACAAAAGTTTTTTGAGCCAAAAAAGAAAGGATATTGCGCGAGAAATAAAAAAAAATATGCCGGACCGCCGAGTTTACACTGCTTCCCAATAGATGTCGGCAGTGTGTTCTCTGGTTTAAGAAGTTTTAAGGAACCCAGGTTTAAGAGGTCGCAAGCAGTCGCAAGAGTGTGAACGGGCCTTAAGAAAATCGGTTAAATTGAACGCGCCACCTGTTCAGGCGGCCCGGCCGAGCCAACGCGACCTGGACTCAGCCGCCATGTTTGCTTGGTGGTGGCGCCCCCTACAGGTCGCTGGAGTCGCGATATTCGTGGAGTTAGTGATGAGTTAGTGTTAGTTAGAATTAGAGCTAGTTAGATTTATAGTTAGTGTTAGCTAGAGTTAATGGAGTTAGTGGTGCTAACTCCACTTTTTAAGTGTCAATTCGCCCGCTAAATGTAGCGGAGAAACTGAATTCGTGTTGAGGTCACGTGACTTCAATATTCACTCTAAATCTATCGGGGAAACTGACTTTTCGTATAAGTCACGTTACTTGAAGCCATGTGACGTCATTTTCCCCGCTAAATTTAGCGGGGAAATTCGCGGTTACGCTTTTTTAGGCTACACCTCATCTAAAAACCTAGCCTATGATCGTTTCAGGTTAGAAAGAGGTCAGACTTTGGGGGAGTTGGTTTAATAATGCGATGATCCCAATCTCCTCATCGTGCTTTTTACACATGCCATCCAAGTTGTACTTCGCAACTGGTGATAAGTAGCCAGGATTACAACTCGTGACGTCACCGCGAGGGCAATCCTGCTCGCGACGTAACGAACGAAAATGCTAAGAGGGCGCCACCGAAACATCTCGGCCGTTTTACTGTAGGGTGACCTGCAGCCAAGGAGGTTAGAAGTACTAGGAGGGGGCACGTTGCAATATTGGTGAAGCCTAGTCATAAAAAGTTTAAATGATTTTGTGCCCAGCGTGACCGCAGATCTTTCTGGCGATTGGTGCGCGTGACATGTCACGTGTGAGATGGATGGTTGATTGTAGAAGGACTCCTCGCAGGCTTGCGCGCGCTCCGTCCGGTAGGTTTTATCAGATCGAAGTCTAGACTGTGGTGTATTCTAGTACCCCATAGCAAGACGAAGGCGAGCTACGGTCACGTGATGTGGTCACGTTGGCAAGGTAATGAGGAGAGTAAGGAGGAAAATGAGAAAGAGGCGAGGCGTCAAGGGAGCATGGCTTGCGGAGGCTACGCGGCCGACGTCATGCCCTCTCCTACCCTTCTATTCTCCATGCCTGCAGCGGACGCTACGCCCATGTCACCCCAGCCCCAGCGCTGTAAACCTATCACGTGATCACGTAAACCCAAGTGCCGCTGCGCCCCTCCCGAACGTCACGTGAAACTCACACAGCATTGAATTGTCTTCGAGGGACCCTGCGCCATCTACCAGGCGGAATGTGAACGACCCAAAAGAACTCTCCGACACAGATTCGACGGCGGACCGAAAGATGGCAGTAGGGACACCGCGTTGGTTCGTAATGCATGGCTTCACGCGGGTTGGAGACGACTCCGACTTCGCAAAGGCTGGGCGCTGGGGTACGGTGAAAGCCCAGATTAGGAATAGGTGCGCACATGTTTTCTTTTTCGCTCATAGCAATCTCGAATAGAGTAATGAGTAAGCGCACGTGACATAGAAAAGGGGGAATTACGGGAAGAAGGTGTTAACTAGCCGAATTTCCGAGTATGCCAACGTACGTAGGTGTGACTTATTCCTATCGCTTATCGGCAGAAATATTTCATTATACCTCGCCCAATCAAATAAATAGCGAGTGAAACAAACTATATATTTAAGCGTTATAAAAAAAAGCAAACAACAGTGAAAAAATGGCTAGATTTTTCAAAAAAGTAATAAAAAATAATGCCCTGGGTCTGAGCTGAAAAACAGTGCATTTGTGGTCTTTTTGAAGGCATTCACATTTCGTCTCATGTCGTGATAGTGTTTTGGTCATTCGAAATTTCCAGAATATAGTCGCATACATCCGAATAGAGGTAGAGCGCACCCGCGCAGCTTTAATGGGCGCTAAAGGTGCGCCAGCGCCAGGGCGCCCTAACACACTAAAACTATATTTACACCTCTAAAGCCGCGTTCACGTGCTGCTTATACATCATACAAAAGGCAGTCTGAAGACACTGTCTGACGTATCCTTCATCATTGTATGATGGCCACATTTTTCGTACAAAAAACTGCCTGCATATATGTTAAAAGCAGAGCTGTGTACGAATCAAACCTTCTTCGAAGATGCTGCAGGTGTGTCCGCGGAGAGTTTCTCATACATCTCTGCAGAGAACTCCGCGGGTCTTTTGTATGATGCATTATCAGTGGGACGGCGGCTTAAGGGTTTCAGAGGTGCTCCGGACTTGCACCTCTGAAAGAATTGTTGTCGCGATTAAATCAAAACAATTCGAATTCAGCGCTTTGACTGCCTCGAGCCATCTTTTGTGCAGTATACTGCTCGCTCACAAGCAGCGATTCTAGCCAGTAACATGCCAAGCAGTGTCTTGTACTCTTTATTTTGCTTTGTGGTACCAGGCCCACTTGGGGTACGGGTCATCGAAGCATATGATCCGCTCTAGAAATTCGGGTCGCAATTGCGTCCCCCAACCATCAACTCATTATCGCTAAAAATACCCAGCAATCATTGGATTTGCCCGTCATTCAAAGTTGCGGCTTATTCCCGTAATAAAGCGGTGCCACAAAGCGCGCGATTAAAAGTAATGCAATTACTCCTCACCCCGCCTCTTACACGAGTTATAACACAAGTGTGAGTCGGGTCAACGCCCTGCAACTCCAAAAAATAATAAGTTCCCCCCAAGGTGCCGCGCCCAGAGTGCGCTGAAGCATGCCCCTTCCCCCATCGCGACCACTTTTCAAAAAGGGATGTCCCAAAATTCCGGTTCCTCCGCTGCCCTGCCCTCTTCTCCGCTCCGCTCCGCCGAAAAACAAAGAAACTCAGCCACAACAGACCACTTGGCTCTAAAAGTGATGTATAGAAAGGCACGAAACGTTCCAACCCCTCCAGGGTGTGGCGCCAGTGTATACTGGGGATACTTTAGACGAAACAGCCCAAGAGAGCGCCCGATGGTTTTCCGAAGGAAGCCGTGTAATCCGCTGATCGCCGAGTTGACACTGCAGCGGAAACTAAGCGGTCTCCGGACCAAACTCCTGCCTTTCCGCTTTCTGCGCGTAGAAATGGCCGGGAGGCGGAGCGTGGTCACATGACCCAAAAGGTAGTCGTCTAACTCGTACAACGATGGACACGTAGCTTCCACCACACTGTCAGTTGAGGGGTGAACGAAGCGTAGCTACACTGCGTTCCCCCCAAAGTTGATAGTACGGTGGAAGCTACACGCCCGCTGGACCAGTTATACGTCTGTCCTTCCCCAAGTCATCGCGCTCCCGCCCATGCCCACACCCAGAAAGCCGGGTCAGGTGATAAAAGGGAGGCCGTTGATTGGTCAGCATACGGCGTAGCTTCCACCGCACTGTAAGCTTAGGGATGAAGGGAGTGTATAGCTAATGGCGTCTGGACACGCAGACGCGAGTTCTGTTCGACGGGCGCGGGTCAAAGCAGGCGACGATTATAGCGTGACCCGATGGTCCCAGACAGGTGACGTCACAGCACGGGCACGACGATGTCGCGCGTCAATAAAAAAATAAAAGAAAAAATCCGTATTGCGTGAGTGAGAGGCGACGAGGTGCGGTCATGTTCCGACAGCTCCAGTTTACGGAAGCGTCCTCCACTGCGAGCGCAAGCGCGCGCGCAGTGTCACTCACTTAGGGTCACTCCGAAACCGAAATTCGGTCGCATTTTTGTTTCCATCGCGAAGAGTGATTGGGTGGGTGAAGGACCCCCGTTTGCCTTTTTCTGTCTTCCAAGCAAGCACTAATAGACCCTTTTTCAAAAAATGCGCGCCGTCTAGTAGCTGCTTCGAAAATAATCCGACCCCGACATTGCTTGGGCACGCACCCTAACCATTTGTTGGACAAGCTAAAGTCACTGGATCAGTGAAAGTAGCGCCATTGCCTTCCTACATGCTAGCCGAACACGCACAAACACCAACATATAGATGACAAAACCTCTCAAAGTGATTGGCTCATCGCTGTTGGTTGCCATGGTGACCGCCAATTCGGACCTTTTCGAAGCTTCGAAGAGGTCGTTAAAACCAATCGCACCAAGATCGCTATAGAGCATCATCGTACTGAAAGCGTTCTTTAGCCAATATGAGCGGTTTTGGCACTGTGCATTCAATAAACATATCAATCATGCTGATTTCCTCATATCTCTTACAATGATGTTACTCTTGTTGCGCGTTTCAAGACAGTAAAATTATTTTTCAATGCCCCCAGGAACCGAAGTAACGTTAGTGTTTGGAGGTATTGAAAAATAATTTTACAGCCTTGAAACACGGAAGAAGAGCAACATAATTGTAAGACGTCTGGGCAAATCAGCAAGTATTTCATGGATGGGTTTCGACCCTCGAACACCCCACCCCCTTGACTCCGCCACTGACCTCAGGGCAGCTAGCATTGCGGTCTACCCATTACCCTTCCACCAGGGACATTCAAAGCTCGACGGTATGACGTAACCTCCTACACCAGAAGCAGACGAACTTGCGCTCCGTATAGGCCGCGCTGCATTGATGCACGAGTGATGACGTTTGTGAGGGAAAGGCCCTTTCTCCTAGGAGTCATTTGGGGCGGAAAATGGGCGTACCTGTAGCACGAGCTCCGGCACGAAGATCTGCAGCGGAACCAGCTGGTCGTCCCTGGTCACGGTGTCATCGACTGAGTCCATGGCGACCGCCTTCATGACCACGCCAGGGCTGCTTCGGGTGGTGTCGCGCCTGCTGAGGCTACGCCGGAACCTGCAGAAAGACGGGAAGACAACTTCGTCAGCTCTTTCTTAAGCAAAGAGCAAACGAACACTCTCCTGTCTCCCTCGCATTTCCTACCTCGTCATTTTGCGCTTTAATATCTCAACATGCAGTACAACCAATTAACTAGACCGTCAGATGATCTTAATGAAGGAGCAGAGAAGCGCGTGCGGCAAAGCTGACCTCCTATATTATACGTCATGCTGTGAACCGAATCGGATTTGGAAACCGCGGGTGAGACGGCGAGTTCTCATATGACATCCTTATTTTACTGACGTTAGACGGGAAAGTTCGACTTTTGTACACATCCCGTAAAAGTAGCGCGAATGCCTATAAAGCGATTACGATAATCGTGTCTTTTAGAAGTTGTAACCTTCAAATTCAAATCTAAACTTTACAATCCACGTGCACTCTGCAGGGTCTTTCGGGTGAAAAGCTGTCATAGAACAGCCTGACGAGGTCTCGGAGCCTGTTACGCGGGCCGCAGCAAGAGAAAAAAACATCTGACATTGTATAAACTAGACTATTTGATGTTTAAAAAAAACTGCATAAGATATTATAAGGATCCAGCTCAAGCACACGCTTATCTTTCAGAAGTTATACGTTATCACAGTACAAAAACTAAACAAATGCGAGAAAACATTCGGCAAACTAAACAAAAGACGAACGAAGGTCAACGCACAAAAAACAATAAACACGTCGCTATTATTCGAAAAGTCATATGTTTAGAATTGACAGAATGTTTTAACGGAAAAGCTGCAAATAATACTTTGCACAATACCAAAAAAAAGAACGTCATTTATCAAGACGACGAGTCTCAATAATGCTTTCATTATTAATTAATTCCGAAGTGCGGTACAAAAAAAAAATGACGGAGATGAAAGTCGAAAGGAATAAAGTAGACGGTACTCATAACTGTTATCTAAGCGAGTTATTTTGTATTTACGGAACAAGAAGCCCTGCACGGTAATTATATGAAACACCAGCCACATCAAGCGAAATAAATTTTTTTTTTAGCAAAAACCTTACATTTAGCTTTGCTTTGTAGCTGTAAAAACAAAAGAAGTCTCTTCTACACTGTATATAATTCGTGTGCATGACTTAAAGCAGGGGTCAGCAACCGGCGGCACGCGGGCAGGAGCCAGCCAAGGAGGCATTATATATAACACACCTCCCCCACCCCCCTCCCCCTCTTTTCGCAAACAGTCACGCACACAATCTCTAGAACAAAAAATAAAGCACATTTGGTTGCAAACCTGGCAGATTGGACGTATTGACTCTGAACAAGTTCAAAAAATTCACCAGATTCCCAAACAGACAATAAGCTGAAGCATGCATTTGCAGCAAACGCATGAAAAACGCATTTGCAGCGAGCTGCTGGCCTCCCTGAATTGGAGTTTTGAAATCTACGCAACCTCGCAGCACCTTCATCAAAGTGTTCGCTTCTAAGGACATACTTTTCCACGTTGAAGATTGTGAAGTCAGATGTGGAATTACCCGAGACTGCGGTGACGACAGAAAAACGGCAGGAAGAAGGATGAACATAGATAGGAACATAGACAGGATCAAGAGGAAGAGGGACTTCTTCCCTTCTTTCTGTTGTCTTCCTGTCGCCACCGCAGTCTCGGGTAGTTCTACAATTATGAATTTACACCAGCTCACTTGCGGCGTCACGTTTTGTTCAAATGTGGGTCTTGCGAATGACAAACAAGCACCCCAAAATGTTTTACGACTCCCAGTTAAAAGTTGTAACGTAAACGTTCGCATATTGGCAAGCGATACTGAACACCCAAAATCTTACTCAGGAAAGGGGAGGGCGCGGGGGGAGAGGGAAGGAGGGGGGGGGGGGGGGTCGAACAATCTTACGCACGTGCGTGTGCCTACATCATAAGATCCTCTTTGCATACCTTATAGAATATGCGACAGTTTTTTTAATCTATTACTTCTATAAGTTAATCCTCGCCCCCCCCCCCCCCCCCCCCCCCCGGCCCATCCATCTCCGTTTCTACGCCCGGCCCCCTCCGTCTCTGCTCTACGGCGATTCGGCCCGCCGCAGAAAAAAGGTAGCCAACCAACCCGAAAACCTCAAAATGGCGCGTGATTTCGAACTAGAGGACTTCGCTTCTTTGCCTCGTACCTCACCAGTGACAATATTTAGGTCGAAACATTATAATAATGATGATGAGGCATAATGGTTTAATGGCGCAAAAGCGACAGAAAACCATGCCACGCAAACCTGCCACACATAACCCTAGAAAGCTATTTCTCGTGCAAAAAAAAAAAAAAAAAAAATGCGGTCGTCACTGTACAGGTACACCCCCCAACGAAGCGTATTCCGACACGTCCATTCCAAATATGTCTCTACAAAGGCCATTCAGCGACGCCACGCTCGGAGCCTCGAAAAACATCCGATCGTGTTATCGACCGCGCCAGCGCACGTCTACCGCGACCCGAGTCGGCGGCCACGGCGCGGACGAGTGAAGCGGGACATCCTTCTCGGTGTTCGGATTCTCCCTCCTCCGTCCTGACCAGGGGTTCGGTAGCTCACCGCCACCGGCCGCCACGGGCTTATCGACCGTCTAAATGTGCCTCGATTTCAGAGTGGCTTCCCGATTCCCCGATTGCGGTCACGTGGTTTACGGGCCGCCTTTGCAATACAAGGAGCGAGGGGGTGGCCCGAAGGGTCGTTGTGTATACAAGCGAGTCATCATCTGCTCACACTAGATGTGCGCGCATGCGCAGAAACGAGATTCGTGTCAAGTGAAGCGTCTGCGCGTGCGCCGTGGCAACAGTAGCGCCACCGCAGCGGAGTGACGTCACGACCGCGTGTTGGTGTGCATTCCGCACCGCAGTCAAATCAAGCGGTACCAAAAGTGCATCGTCATTGCCTTTCTGCGTTAGTTATCATCAGCTAAATTAATCACGCAGAGTCAATGCGCCGCGGACTTCCGCTTTATTTATTCATTTATTTATTGTGCGCGTGATTAGTCAAAAGACTGTTCAAACACTTGCGTTTGACTATACGACCAACTAAGACAAGACCGGTTTTTAAAGGCAAGCTGAAGCATTTTTCAAGGAATCTGAGTTAGAAGCGGACTTCTGATAGCCTTTTGTCCCGCGAAGAAGTAGTAAACGTAAACCGCAATCATTGTTAAAAAAAATCGCGCAGCGATTGGCACCTGGCATGCGGCGATGCTCTCTGCCGCCTGTAGTTTGTCCAGAGCGTCGTGACGTCATCGACAACGTCTCCGAGCCGGCTTAGTGGCGAGCAGAAAATCATCTGACCCCGCTGACGACGTCTAGCTCTTTGGCTATTAACGCGATAGCGTTAAGGAGCTCGTGTCGCAGAAAATCCGGCGTCGGTGGCGTGACAAGAAAACCCGACGTCGGTGGCGTGCCCCAAAAATCTTGATTGGTCGATAGGGTCATGACGTCAGAGCCACATGACCTCGCGCGGGAATTTCACGCAACGCCCACGTGAAACGTGACGTCACGCGTGGAATGGAAGTGATTAAGAAACATGACACGTAATACGAATGAATGGTCGTCGCACGTCTCAAATATTTTCACCCTACAAAGTAATTCATTTGCCTTTAAAAAAATGAAGAATTCTAGGCGGGATTCGAACCCACGACCCTTCTGTTCCGCCACTGACTATAGGCCACGCAAGGCACGCCTGCGCGGCTCAGGAACGCGCGGAGAAGTTTGTAGGTTTATATGTTTCGCTATCGCGTTCCACTTTTAAAGGTGAAGCTTAAGGGGTATCCACACGAAGGAGAACTTCGCGGACGGATGTCGTGAGGTCAGCAACCCGGGAAACTCCGTCCTCGACTCCGCCACGAGCACCTGCGGAGCTTTGGTGCTAAAGGGGTATTCACACGAGGGAGAAATCCCGGGGATTTCTCCCCGGCACGCGCGCATCACGAGACAAAAACGCGAGGCTTTTGCTCATCGCAAAGCCTGACGTTTTCGTCGTGGGATGCGCGTGCCGGGCAGAAGTCCCCGGGATTTTTTCCTCGTGTGGATACCCCTTTAACAGTACGAAGCCTCCTCGCGTCTGCCACGGAGGAGAACGGCGCCGCGAGGCGTCAAAAACGGATGACGTATGTCTCACGTGATGCGCGCTCCGCGGAGGAAAGGGGCAAATTTCTCCTTCGTGTAGATACCCCATTAAACGCCATCCAAGGTGTTCTTTTTTTGTTTGTTTTTTTCCCCCGTTCTCGCGCTTCGTCGGCGCGCCGCAACGGGCGGGTCTACGCCTAAATTTTAATTGACAAATACCACGCCCCTACTAATAAGATCGAAATAAAACTTGAGACACATAATCTTTAAGCTGCCTCACAACTTTCACTCTTTGTTAGGATTCAAGAACCTCTTCAGTGTCCCTTTAAGCCTCTTGTGACGGCTTGTACGACCGGCCGCATTGCTGCACAGACGGTCGTAAGCCAAGATAAAAAGGCCTAAAAACCGGTAGTCGGCAGGGCGTAGTCAAACGCAAATGTGCGAAAGGCTTTTAGCCGGTCATAGCTAACCGAGAGAGACAATTAACGATCGCCGCGACGATACGCTTTTGGTACTGCTTGATTGACCCCATCGGATCGAGGTGTCGGCTGCGGTTGGGCTCGAAGTGATATAGACCATTTTCAGAAGTCCATCGAGCGACATCGTTCGGTCACCATTGGTTGCTCACAAAGCGCGTGACTGACTCCGAGTCCTCGCCGAACGGTGACGTCACCGCTCGTTATCAATACGAGCTGAGCCGAGTTCACGCCGAATGCGGACGTCACTCTCGTGTCCAATGCATGCTCAGAGTATGTGAGCAAGCAATGTCGGATAGTCGTTTCGTTAGCATGAACTTTGAAAAGGGTGTCGCCGTGTTGCCCACGGTCCTCCTTGTCACGTGACGATGCATGCATGAGCCACGAGCATCTGCGCGGGAGGACGTGGGCTGTCGAATTGCAAGCGCTCTCCTCCGCGGTTTGGGTTGCTCC